AACAGGATATAATGTTTGAAGTATTTCATTTTTCATGCTTGTAATCACATCATTTACTTCCGACTTCTTTGCATAATTTTCATCAACATATGTTTTATCTGCTTTAAGGTCTAAACATCCTGAAACCCATCCTGTATCAGCTTTAACTTTAAAAGTCTCCGATGTCCATTCATGATACCATTCAACCTTTTCTTTAATTTCATTATCTTTTTCATCAACATAAACCAAATTTGCCTTCTTATTTAATTCACTATCCACATATTCCTTATCCACCTTCTTCATTATGTCATTTAGGAAACCTTCTATGAATTCCTCATTTAAATTAAATCTTCCAATCTTCAAAACTTTAGGAAATGCATTTAATGCGTAATATCTCTGTTCTTCTGGTGGAATTGATGTTATATCATCCGTTATTCCTTTAATTTTTGAATTCATAAATAAAATTTCTTTTATATTTGATATCACTGCACCACCTTTGCAAACGAATTCGAAACGGTCATTTTTCAATACTATCTCCAAATCTCCATATTTCAACCTTTGCGTTTGTTCTGCTGTCTTTGAATTATATGCATATATGGCGTATGTAATGGTCTGAAGGATCTGGGTGCTTTGCGCCTTAAGTTGCTGTTGTTTAATCATTTATTATGATTTAAAAATAAATATTTAATCCGTTATCTCATCAGCTATTTTCTCTATTTGAAATTGCCATAATATTTCATTCATAAATTCTAAATCACAATCAAATAGGTCAGTTATTCTAAATTTAATATTTGATAAATCTTTTGAATGAAGAATAAATGAATTCCCGGATAATTGAAACAGATATGATAAAGAAAATGTGTTTAAGTTGATGGATAAAATGTTTTGTATTGATGGGTAAGAGTTAGGGTCTAATGTTTGATGTGAAAATCTCATTGGGTATTAACTTTATCACATTTGATTAAAATGAAATTGGAACCAGTGTCAGAATACAAAACATCCCCAACATCTTTTTCAAAATTTAATATTCCCAACAATGAACGAAGATGAGGAGTACAAAATTTAATTTTCAGCGGAAATTTAATAAGGTTATTTATTTCATCAAGTTCAAAAAGTTTATCAGGTTTTGATTTAAAATTTTCTTCATACCATACGATAAATGATTCATTTAAATAACTTAAAATCATGTTAATATCCATTTCGCTATCACATGATTTATATACATATCATACGTTTTTTCAAGGTCATCTTTAATAAATGATATATAATCTGAAGGGTCTAAAAGAATGGGATTAAATTTACCACTCACAGAAACGAGAGTAACATTATAAATTCCGCTAACTGTTAAATTTAATTCACAGCTATTATTCGAAATAATATTGATAATTGACATTTTTATTACGATTAAAAATATGGTAAAGCGTTATTTTCCAGTGATAAATAAAACTAGAATAAGATTACCTCAAGAATTCATAAATTCAACGAATAAGAAATTCATTCATGTTATAAATTTTAGTGTTTTCAGAAAATATGAGTCAGTGTCATATTCATCAACAGGTTATATTTCACTTCATTCAAATTTAGTTCAATCAAACCCATATAATGACCATTTCATAAGATTTTCAGATGGTATTAAAAATGTAATTGATAGATTAAAATATGAACAGATTGACAATATCGAATTTTTGGAATTTTGGTTTAAATATCCCGATGGAAAAAAGATTGAAGTTAAAGATAAAGCTGATACTATAACAAAAACAATTACAATGACCGATCCGGATAGTGGGGAACAAAAAGAAATAAAACAAACGATAGAAACTGGTGAAAGGTCAATTATTATTGATTATGATTCAAAGGATTATTATTCGATAATGTTAATGCTTGAATATTAAATAGTCTTAACAAAGAATTTTTCAAGTGATATTTTATATTCATCAAATATTTTATTATAAATATCATTATATGTTAAATGAAGTTCAGTTGTTGTTCCGTTCTTTGATATCTTAATTGTGCTAATATCCTTTATAGGATTTATTTTTGCAACTGTTCCGCAGCATGAAACCTCATCATCTATGAAAAATTGAATCTTAACGTCTGAATCTTGAACATCACAAAGAATGGCGATAATGTGAATTAATGATTCATAAGGTAAAATAATTAAACCGGATTGGTCAATTAAATTTATTATTGAATCATAATTATTAATTATTATATCACGGTAAATTTTCATTAATTCAGAATTAATGTCTATTTTATATGGGTTCTCGATGTTTGATGAAAGAGGCGGGGGGTATGTTGGATAAGTGGGAATTTCAACAGGTTCTTTACCAGGTTCAGATAAAATGATTGGGTCTCCATCTTCTTTATTTTGCTCCTCCTCATTCTTCGGTAAGTCACGAGTTAATAATTTGGTTGAGTTGCTGACCTTGTTAATTCGGGGCTAACATTAACTTTAACATTTTGAATAATTCGTGATTTATCATCATTTACGTTATAACCAACCGTAATCTCTGCTTTTGCGTTAGTGTTCTTTTGACTAGTGAAACGTCTTCTCATTTATAATCGAATAAAAAAAATATATTTAAACTTTTATTTTGCCGGAAGTTTTGAATCTATTATTCCCTGTATTTGTTCATGAAGTTGATTTTTAGCATTTTCATCGAAATTAATAGACCGAATATATTCATTAATTGCATTCTTATAATCATCTGATTTCTCAAATTTTCTTTTATCTGATTCCTTAACTAAATCATAAGTTAAACCTCGTTGCTGATATAATGGTTTCTTAATTAAATCTTTGAATGCTTGAGATAAAGCACCTGATGCAATTCTTGCTACTATAATTGGTTGGAATTGATGTTTAGGTTCATCTTTAACATTTGCGAAAACTGGATCGAATAAAGCAACTTTAAAGAATTTCTTAGCTGAAATTTCAGGTCTAATATTTGCATATTGACCATCAAACTGGTTAGAATATCGTGGTAATCCATCCGGTCCCTCTTCAATAGCATTTAATTCTTCATTGAAATAAGAATATGGATTATAACGGTATGAATTAATTGGACCATGTTCACCTTCTCCAATGTATTGTTTAACAGCTTTTCCATTTTCATCAAATTGTATAGGATAACGTTCATTATATACTTTACGTTTAGGATAATCAGATACAGTTAATTTATAACCATTTATGACTTTAATATTACCTTGACCATCAGTAACGAAAACTTCATTTATACCATCAGGTTTTCCATTTGGACCCGTAATGTCTGCTTCGTGTGCTTCCCAATTTGGACCTTGACGTTTGGCATATGCTTGAGCTTCTGGTAATGTTAAAACGTTTCTCATTTGTTTAACATCTTTTTGAAGACCAGCAACAATATGAACTAATTCTTTCATTCCATCAGGAACTTTCATAGTTCTATTATATGCACCCTTTTTGTTTGTTCCTTGTTTTAATGGAACCTGTAGAAGATTTGCTATTTCTGTCATGTTTAATTATAAATAAAAAATAAAAATTAATTATAAAAAGTTAATCAAATTTAACACTTCCTTTATTTAAATCAACTATTATTTTTCCATGTTCACCTAATTGCTGATATTGTGTGTAAAGTTCATTAATGCTCATTGGTAAATTCACTTGATAAAGCATAACGTTCAACTGTTGACGACTAAACCCACTGAAAATGAAAAGGGTTGATAGATTTGATTTAATGTTTGTGCTTAATGCTTTGAAATATTGAACAGCCATAAAGAATGAACACTGAATGTGTCGACATTGAGTTAATAACTGATTAAAATATGATTTCTCATTTGTTATTAGTTTTGATTTCACTGCATCATCTAGAAAAATGAGTGAATGCAAAAATTCTCTATCAAAATTTGAAATAGAAAGTGTTTCAAATAATTCATCCCGTTGTTTATCAATAATTTTATCCTCTAATCCTTGCTTCTTGATTGTATTATATAATTCTTTATACATTAAAAAGTTTTTTTAAATAATCTTCTGCTTCTTCTTGTGATAAATAAATAATTGGAATTTTGATTAAATGCTTTAAAGATTCAAATGTATCATCTGAAGGTGAACCTGAACGGTTGATATAAATTAACACGTGTGAATAGGGTGAAGTGTTAGCAATAATGATAATTTGTTTTAATATCGTTAATGTTTTACCTTTATTTTGTTTACCAATTGCTGCAGTGATTGAATTTAAGTAACATTCAGAATATGGAATTTTCATTAATTTTTCCTTAGATAGAGCATTTCTATTATCACTCAATGCTTCATTAATCATATCATCTACGTATGTATTATATACTCCTGCTAATTCTTCATAAGGGGTGGATGAATTTAAATCCATTTAATCAAAAATAAATTTATAATTTTAAAACATTTCTATTCATCAATATTTCATCATATGAACTTCTATACTGTGGTGGTGTACCTGTTGGATGATATTTCAAACCTTCGTCCGGTGTCCATGTCCAATACGTAGTCCTAGTAAACCAAACCTGAGGAGGATTTGTCACCTTTGAACAGTAAGTGTCATTTACACCCTGAATGATTGGATAAGCTTTCACTTGTACTGTAACTTGTGAGTTGAAAGTTTCTAATCATCAAAGAATATACCCGCTCCATCACGTTGAACTGGAATAGTGCATAAGAATGAAGTTTGGTCTTTCCATGTTCTAGCTAATGGCGTGCCATCATCATCATTCAGTGGTCTAGTTAATGAGTCCTCGTATTCTTCCGTGCATTCATTCACTCCATCTAAATCAGAAGCTTGAAGCATACGTGTAAAGAATATATCACCCACTGTGGTCATCGCTTGATCGGGAAAGTTTCTGGAATCTATAGTGACCTGAAGACCTCGAAGCATTGGATTTTCTAAAACAGTTCTTTGCATTGCATTCTTCGGAAATGTTAACACAACATCTGTAACATTATGAAGAGCGTATGAGAAATCTGAGCTAATACCTTCAGGAGTGATGCAACCTCCATTTAGTGAACGAACGTCAATATGTTAAGCTGGAATCATGAATGGATCTTCCTTACTGAATAAACGTGGTATTGCTTTAACTGATTCTTCAATTAAACCATATCCTGGTGTAATGCATTTATCCTCTAAAACTTCCATCTTTGCGCATGAAATAATAACGTCATCAACTGTTGCCTCAGCAGATGTAGCGGCTAAGCTTGTAATTAATTTGGCAGGAAGTCCGATTTGTTGGAATTTGCGATCATATTTATAAACATGATTCATAATCTTTTCATAATTTTCATCAGTTATCTTTTCATAAACGTAATTTTGTAAATCAGCAACTCTTAACGGGTCAACCTGACAAAATACTAAAGTATCCCTGAAAACATAATATTTAAGAATGATATCACCAAATGATTTAGGATAATCATCGAACGCCTGAAATGCTAACAAATCATTTACCGGAATAATCATATCAAAAGTGATATCAACTTCTTTATTCGCGTTCTTGAAAACTTCCGAAGGGTCAATATATTTACCACATACTGAGTTATCATATTTTTGAACATTATTATATAACGAATGAACAAACTTTTTAACTTTCCTTTCTGATTTTGGTTTATATGTTGCAAATGCGAAAGATTCACGGGCGCAATCCATTTGAAGATAACCGGCATCACCTCTTTCGGTTTCTACTTCTAATTGTTTAAAGCTTTGATTTGATGATTTGTAACCAACGAATAAACGCATGCATTTAAAAGCGGCATCACATGTGAAAGCTTTATTTGAAACTAGAGTTGCTTTAACTTTGCGTTTAATATATGTGTCACCTAATTGATTCACATCATGAGCCGGATTTGTAACCAACGAATAAACGCATGCATTTAAAAGCGGCATCACATGTGAAAGCTTTATTTGAAACTAGAGTTGCTTTAACTTTGCGTTTAATATATGTGTCACCTAATTGATTCACATCATGAGCCGGATTTGTAATTCTTAAATGAGTTTGTTTATCATCAAAATATGGAGCATCAGAGTCATAGCATGAACTTTCAAGTTCTCTATAATATCTTCTACCGTCATTCTTTGCGAATATTTCATTTATCTTTTCGAATGAATGAAACACATTTCCATTAATCGGTTTAGTGTTTGGCACCAAATAGTTAGTCGTCATTTATTAATAAATAAAAAATCAAAATTAAAAGATGAAAATGAATTTTTAATTTTAATGAAATAATCAACTATGGCTGCAGGATTCTTTAAGAAACTGTGGGATAAAGTAAAAAGAGGAGCGCATAAAGTTTGGGAAACAATGAAGAAAGGAGCAAATTGGATATTTAAGAATAAAGAAGCAATTAGTGACGTTGCTGAATCAATAACACCAAAAGCTGCCCCAATAAGAGAAATATTAAATAAAGGAGAAAAAGTTTATCAAAGACTTCAACCGATACTAAGATAAAAATAATATTTATTTATTTTTCCACTATCTACCTCCTATTTTATTAAGTATTCCTTCAGCTATTCCACCAATTGCGTTACCTGCTTGTGCTCCCATCGCCGGATTACCTGCTTTAGTACCTAATACTCCACCTATGATAGTTCCTGCCGTTTTCGCTACTGGTGCCAAAAAGTTTGCAACGGGTTTAATAATATTTTTATGAACCCAACCTGCAGCTTTCTTAATTCCATCCCATAATTTTTTAAAGAATCCTGCCGCCATTTCTGATTTAATATTAATTAAAAAATATATTTCATCACTTATATTCTAATTTTTATTTAATGATAAATGAAACCGATTTTAAAAATAAATGAAACAGAGGAGGAAGAAATAAATGAAAGTGAAAATGTTCAACAAAAAATAAACGTTGTTAAACCAATTACTGAAATAAAAATTTTTTCATCTGTTGAAGAATTTAATGACTATTATGCTAACAATAAAAAATTATTTGAAGAATTGACAACGTGTAAATTGAATAAAATGTTTAAAGTTGATGGATTCAAAATTTCAAAAATAAAAGGAGTGGTTAGTTTGAAATCTATTCCTCAATCAAGAATCACCTCATTAATGAAAATTAATGATTTAACAAAAAGAATAGAAGAGATTGAAGAAAGAATGAATCAAATAATTGATTTCATAAATTCAAATAATCATTAGTTTCTTAAAGTTCAATGTTGAACTCATCAAATTCTTTTAAAAGTTTATTTTTTAAAAAAATTTTATTTTTTTATTTTTTATTTTATTATGGTAGTGAATCTTTCATTCATGAAAATAATTATTTCTAATTTCTTTTACTCGTTTATGAGGTCTTTGATTATGACTCCATTGATTCCATTCAGGATTTAAACAATGTTTAATTAATCGCGGAATATCTGACATCATCTATATATAGCTTCTTTTATAAAAGATAAAAAAATAAATTATTTTAAAATTAATGTTAATTTTTTAAAATGTGTTTAGTATATAATATTTATTACTAATTTATTTAATAATGTCGCGCTTTCTTACGAATTCATGACTTAAAAAACGTAAGAAAAAATTTTTATATCATCTATATATAGAAGATGTGAAAATATACCTTCATCTATATATAGACGTAACAAAAAAAGTCACACACCCCTTCCTATCCTACTACTTTTTGTATTTTGGATGTTTTTTATTCATTCCTATCATTGGTATCCAATAGATATTCTGTCATATCATAGGCATCATCATAAGTATCTTAATCGAGGATATCACAAAGAAAATTTTAGTAATTCGAGAAATTTTCTGCGGGAATCCATTTTCTACCAATAAGCTTGCATATAGATATTATTGAGATATCCTGATTCTTTGAAGTTTCAAATATTTAGGGTCTAAAAAATATTTCAGGTAGATTTAATTAAAATTAATCAAAAATAAAAAATGTATCAAACAACGCCAACAGATGACACAAATATCAATTCTTTAGATTCAACATTTAACTCTGAAGAGATTATTTCAATATTAAAGCCAATTCTCGCAAAGAATATCAACTCTGAAAAATTAAAGACAAATATTTTATCCAAAGTTATCAAAGAACTCAAAGAAACTTCTTTGGCAATGAAAACAGATAGAATCAACCGCAGAATTCAGCAAATTACCAACATGATTAATGATACTTCACCAAATAGACGTTCAGATGAAGAAATCAATATGCGTCTTAACGCCGTTCTAAGTGAAATATTTGATATTCTATCTTTTGTACAGATGCTTAGCGGATTAAACCCTCAAGGAGCAAAAGATTTCAAAATTTGCGTTAATTTCTTGGAAGCTTTTCATTTCCTTTACAAAATCATGCAAATGATTAAATGGGTCAGACCTATCCCTCGCCAAGTCCATGCTTTACGTGATTCCTTCGAAACTTCTTGCATGCAAATTTTCACATCGATATTAAACCAAAATATCATGAATTTTGACTGCCAAGAAACTTTGAATAATTGTCTTTCAATTTTACTTGAAGTTGACGTTAAAGGTGTTTATTCTCAAAATATGATACCTCCTTTACGAGTTTATTACGAAAAAATACAATACGAAGCATTCAAGGCGAACCCTACTATCTTCCAACTGAACGCTGTCCTTGGCCAAGCGATGAGAAACCGTAATTTAACAGATTTAACAAAATACATTGATATGTTAGAAGTTGCGCCAACTGATCCAAGGAAAGTCTTCATTTTGATATCAAAAATGGGCCAAATGCCAGAGCTCAAACAATGTGTGATTAATGCAGCTCTAAAATGCCGTAGTCCAGATGCATTATGCCAGGCTTATCAATTTTTCCATGATAATGTTGAAATACAACAGCAATATCTTACAGTTCTTGCAAATATTTCAAGTAATTGGTTGAATCAGCTTTTAACATACCTAAGCAGGAAATTCGGACCTGATTCAACCGATCACATCTCATCAGAGCATCAAGTAAGGAGTTCTTATTCTCAAATGAGGAAAATGGTCGATAGACTCGGAGAAGAAATGAAAAGATACATTTTTCAAACGATGGCAGAGTCGGATTCGCTCCAATCAATATTCCTTTTATATAAATCAGGTAATATTGACCTCAATTCTAACGATGACATGTTCAAAGACCTTCTTTTGATTTTCAATTTAATTCCAGTTCAATAAATATTATGTTTGTTTTATGTATAAATATTAATTTATATTTTTGAATATTATTTCTATAAATCTTTAAAAAATTAATCAAATTTTTCTTCGTAAAGTCTCTTATTCAAATTTGTGATAGAGTTTCACACAATATTGAGGCAGAATAACGTTAGGGATACTTTACTTAGGAAAATGAGTTTAATCAAATTTTCAATCGTGTTCCTTTTTACTTAGAATTTTATATTTTTGAATATTATTTCAAAAATATAAAAGATTTTAAAATTTAAAAGATTTTATAAATAATATATTTATCAAATTTTAAATCTCATTCCTTTTTACTTGGAATTAATAGGATAAGCTTTTCTTATTGCTATAGATATCATATACAGCATCATCTTTATCAGATTATTGATATATGTAAATTCTAAATTTGAAAATTGTATTTTTGTTTTTATAACTTCTCCAGTTGATCATTCTTCGCTCAAATATCATAGAAGTTGCTTGTAAATTGATGTTGTAAGAATTTATTATATTAGTAGTAGGATATGACGGGTTTAGTGACCTTTTTTGTTACGTCTATATATAGACGATGCATTAAAATATATTTATTTATAAATCATTAAAATAATTTATTTTTTTATCTTTTATAAAAGAAGCTATATATAGATGATGTCAGATATTCCGCGATTAATTAAATATTGTTTAAATCCTGAATGGGTTAAACTTCAATTTAAAAATGAAGATTGTGAATTATTAAATGAATATGAAAGCCAAAATAAGCTAATGAGGTATAAATATAATGATAAAGAATATTTAATTTCATGGAATCAATGGAGTCATAATCAAAGACCTCATAAACGAGTAAAAGAAATTAGAAATAATTATTTTCATGAATGAAAGATTCACTACCATAATGAAATAATAAACTTTAAAAATTCATGTCTTACGAAAAATTAAAACTTAGTTATGTTTATTATTTTATTTTTTTATTTTGTATGAAATGGGTGTCAAGACTAACGACGTTAAAAAATTAGGATTCATAAACGAGGAAATAAAGGAAAAAGTTTATTTTGCAAGATTTCACTTAATGGATCATATGGTTACGATGCAATGAATACACAAAATTACGCAAAGACTAAAATCATAAATGCACAGAAGGCACGCGTTGCATGTATGTCAAATAAGTTTAAAAACATAAGAGAAATAGGAGAGGATACATATCAAGTGATGCTTAAAGATAGATTTTATAGATGTGATACATGTTTACAAGAGGCATTCTTCACTTTAGATAACGCAAAATACTGGTATTTAGTTTTCATTTATGATTTTATGTATAAATGCATGGATGTTAATCGTTTTCATTTCATTGAAGGTGATACTGATTCATCTTATTGGGCAATCGCTGGCGACCCAAATCTTCCTAACACTCAAGCATTTCAAGCAATTGTTACCGATAAACAATTTTATGATAAAAACATTTTCAAATTCGCACCTTTTGATTTCTTCTGTTTTGATGAGAAATTTAAACCTAAATTAAAGAATAAAGCTGAAGAAAAAGCACATGAGAAGAAGTTATTGGGTTTAGCAATTGAGAAACAAGGTGATAACATGGTTGCTTTATGCCCTAAGTGTTATACATCATTCAACGGTTCAATTGATGGAAGTGATTTTAAAAAGATTGCACAAAAAATGAAAGGTGTTAGTTTACGACAAAATAAACAATTAACACCTAAAAATTATTTGGATATAATAAATGATAAAGTTATTTTCGATGGTCAGAATATTAATTTACAACTTAAAAACTGGTCAATGACTCGCTTAACAATCGGTAAGACTGCATTAACAGGAGCACACACTAAGGCTGTATGTTGTGAAAATGGATGTTGTATGCCATTTATTTAATACAATTTAAAATTTTATTTTTAATAAAATGCCACAGAAGAGACAAAAGGAACCGTTAATGATGCGATTCAATATGTAAATAATGGTTTTGATACTATGATTCAAAGAGGCGGGCACCCCTAAAACACTTATTTTATTTTTATATAAATGGATAGCACAAATTTAAAAATTTTAATTTATGATTTAATATTTAATCAAAATTTTCTTGATTATTACGATTTAAAAGCATATCTCCAAAAATATGATAACACTATAACGGGTGATGATATGGATTATTATTATCCGTATTATAAAAATGAAATTTTGAAATATCATGATAGAATAATTTCTAGAATTAAAGACAAAATTAAAAATAATGGATATTCAAAGGGAAAAACTAAATCACAACTTAAACGGTTGAAAGATTTCAAAAATAAAGTATTAACAGAAGAAGATATTGATGAATCATATAAATTATATAATCCTGAGCCGCAAAAACCAAAGGAACAAAAACAAAAGGTGCAAAAAGCCCAGGTCCTTCAGACCATAAATGAAGCACAAGCTTTAATTTATGATTCATTAGTTAAACCATATTCAGCCCGACTTTTAAATGAAGATCAACTTTTGGAATTCATCCTTCAACATAAACTCGAAGCGGGAAAGTATATCAAACCTTTATATACAACATATTTAAAACAAATGAATAGAATACATCCAGAATTAATGACGGGAGGAATGAAATCCAAAATCAAAGCAGATAAAATTAAACCACCTGCAACACCAAAACCTCCAACGGTAGTACCTCCTCCTTCAGTTAATCCTTCATCATTCACTTTATTATATCCATTTCAAACATTAAAGAAGCAAAAAGATTTTAAAAAGGGTTTCAATATATTAAATAAACCAACTGACCCAAAAATTCAACTGTTAAAGGAAAAATTTAGTCGCCCTTCATTTGCCCCATATCCATATTCATACGAAATCGATCATTTAGAATATTCAAAAGGAAACGTTACTTATTTATTTGCCATTAACATTAACACTAGATATTTATATTGCATTCCGGTGAAAGGGAAAACAGAACAGGAAACAAGAAGAGCTATTCAATACTTACTAGATCATGAAAGAGTAGATAATATCAGGGGTGATGGTGATAAAGGATTTCAGGCAACTATGACTCATTATTTCCCACAAATTAATTTTTACTTCTCATCCTCTCCATATACGTTTCATAATAAAATAGTTGATGCGGTAATGAGAACTCTTAGAGATGCGTTGGGGGTCAGATATATTGGGATGGAAATCATGACTCCATCATACAGCAGTTAGTATATTATTACAATAATACATGGCATAGAACTATAAACATGAAACCAGTGGAAATGAAAAATGATATTTCAAAAGAATGGGAATATATTAGAAAACAAATGGAAAGGTTAAATGATGTTAAACGTGAACAAATTAATTCGGGGCTCATGAATTTTAAACAAGGGGATAAAGTTTTGATTCATCTCGATTATGGAAAAACTGATAAATCAATGACAAAAAGAAGACGAAGATTTGACACAATAGCTGAATTTGTTAGATATATTAACGGCAATGCATTAGTTGAAGTTGACAATAAATTAATAGAAATTCCGATTTATTTTATTACTCCATTATATTTAAATATTATTTAATTTTTTTATTTCGTAAGAAATGGGTGACAACGAAGCATCCAAGAGTCCTGATTCAATTAAGATTCAGAGTCCAGACGATGAATATAAAAAGAAACTAAACAGAATTAAATCAAAAATATGCTATTACAAAAAGAAGCCGCAATGTGGTGGGGCTGATGCCCATAAAACTAATGGAACTGAAAACGATGAAGAGAGGAAAGAAATAATCGAAAAATTAGAAACTTACCGTTCAATCCTTAAACTGGGTGAAGCAAAAATAAAAGAATTTAATAGAATAAATAAATTGATTGGAAGAGATGAATTTAATAAAGATGAATTTTTAAACTCAATCCAAATTTAATTTTTATTCCTCTTCCGTCAATGGTTTCCCGAACCCTTCTGGGTTCTTCTTTCCATCATTACTGCATAACCGCATCTTCTCGGTTTTCGTGGTTTGTTGTTTTTAATTCGTTCTTGCATCATTTTTATCATTTCCTCCCTTGTTATGATTCGTGGTAAATTTTGAGCTTGTGGGGTATCCATTTATATAAAAATAAAATTTTGTTATCAGTTATTTTATCGTTAATGGTTTTTAGGTTATTCAATAATTAATTATTTTTGAAGAACTGAGGGTGTCACTACGTCACCATGTCACCAGGTTATTTAACTTCTCTTAAAAATGATGACAACATGACATTTTGACAACACAGGTACGAAAGGAGGAAGGCATTTATGAATTATTTTTGAAGAACTGAGGGTGTCACTACGTCACCATGTCACCAGGTTATTTAACTTCTCTTAAAAATGATGACAACATGACATTTTGACAACACAGGTACGAAAGGAGGAAGGCATTTATGAATTATTTTTGAAGAACTGAGGGTGTCACTACGTCACCATGTCACCAGGTTAATTAACTTCTCTGAAAAAATGAGACAACATGACATTTTGACAACACAGGTACGAAAGGAGGAAGGCATTTATGAATTATTTTTGAAGAACTGAGGGTGTCACTACGTCACCATGTCACCAGGTTATTTAACTTCTCTTAAAAATGATGACAACATGACATTTTGACAACACAGGTACGAAAGGAGGAAGGCATTTATGAATTATTTTTGAAGAACTGAGGGTGTCACTACGTCACCATGTCACCAGGTTAATTAACTTCTCTGAAAAAATGAGACAACATGACATTTTGACAACACAGGTACGAAAGGAGGAAGGCATTTATGAATTATTTTTGAAGAACTGAGGGTGTCACTACGTCACCATGTCACCAGGTTATTTAACTTCTCTTAAAAATGATGACAACATGACATTTTGACAACACAGGTACGAAAGGAGGAAGGCATTTATGAATTATTTTTGAAGAACTGAGGGTGTCACTACGTCACCATGTCACCAGGTTATTTAACTTCTCTTAAAAATGATGACAACATGACATTTTGACAACACAGGTACGAAAGGAGGAAGGCATTTATGAATTATTTTTGAAGAACTGAGGGTGTCACTACGTCACCATGTCACCAGGTTATTTAACTTCTCTTAAAAATGATGACAACATGACATTTTGACAACACAGGTACGAAAGGAGGAAGGCATTTATGAATTATTTTTGAAGAACTGAGGGTGTCACTACGTCACCATGTCACCAGGTTATTTAACTTCTCTTAAAAATGATGACAACATGACATTTTGACAACACAGGTACGAAAGGAGGAAGGCATTTATGAATTATTTTTGAAGAACTGAGGGTGTCACTACGTCACCATGTCACCAGGTTAATTAACTTCTCTGAAAAAATGAGACAACATGACATTTTGACAACACAGCAGGATTAATGCAAAAATAAATTCCAATCATACTTTATAAAGCTTCATTTACAGGTATTTCATCATCAGTAAATGAATCCTCATTATCGTTTGGTTCAACCTGTTTATATAATCCTTTCATTTCTTCTTTCAAAACATAACACCATGTTTGTTTACCATCTATTCTTCTTTGTTTCCTATCACATTTATCCTTAATGCTCATTTGGAAATTCTTGTCTTTCATGTCTGATGGTTTGCAGAATAGAGCATTTTTACACGTCATACCTGCACACAATTCATCATAATGTGTATTTATCCATACATCTAAAGGATTTGTTGATAATTCAATTAAATCTTGTTTGGCTTCAGTCATCGGTATGATTCGTACATTAAATGATGAAAGGTCATATTGCATAAAATACGTCAGTAAATTATCATAAAATTCCTTTGTGCATGAATCCATTAAATTCTTGAAATAATCAAATTGACCCTTGAATTTACCATTAACTCTTAAAACTACGTATCTTCTGTCTCCAACTTCAATTTTGACAGGGTAGACGTTATTAGTTACGAAAATGAAGTTTGCAACGTTCTGTGCAGTTCTTCTGGGTTGATTCTTTTCATTAATTCTAATCTCATTATCCGTAATAATTGATTTCAAAGCGTTGAAGTTTGCGAGTCTGTCTTCACCTACATTCTTGAGTTCATTAAGTACAAGAAACATTTTATTCTCAACTACTGAATTGAAATTACCCGTTAGCTCACTTATTTCGGTAATGTTTTTACATGAATAACCGGCGAGAAGTTCAGAAATAATGTCTGTAAATCTGTTTTTACCTGTTCCCTGAAGTCCTTTCAAAATAATATTGATAATTGACATTTTTTATTACGATTAAAAATATGGTAAAGCGTTATTTTCCAGTGATAAATAAAACTAGAATAAGATTACCTCAAGAATTCATAAATTCAACGAATAAGAAATTCATTCATGTTATAAATTTTAGTGTTTTCAGAAAATATGAGTCAGTGTCATATTCATCAACAGGTTATATTTCACTTCATTCAAATTTAGTTCAATCAAACCCATATAATGACCATTTCATAAGATTTTCAGATGGTATTAAAAATGTAATTGATAGATTAAAATATGAACAGATTGACAATATCGAATTTTTGGAATTTTGGTTTAAATATCCCGATGGAAAAAAGATTGAAGTTAAAGATAAAGCTGATACTATAACAAAAACAATTACAATGACCGATTCGGATAGTGGGGAACCAAAAGAAATAAAACAAACGATAGAAACTGGTGAAAGGTCAATTATTATTGATTATGATTCAAAGGATTATTATTCAATAATGTTAATGCTTGAATATTAAATAGTCTTAACAAAGAATTTTTCAAGTGATATTTTATATTCATCAAATATTTTATTATAAATATCATTATATGTTAAATGAAGTTCAGTTGTTGTTCCGTTCTTTGATATCTTAATTGTGCTAATATCCTTTATAGGATTTATTTTTGCAACTGTTCCGCAGCATGAAACCTCATCATCTATGAAAAATTGAATCTTAACGTCTGAATCTTGAACATCACAAAGAATGGCGATAATGTGAATTAATGATTCATAAGGTAAAATAATTAAACCGGATTGGTCAATTAAATTTATTATTGAATCATAATTATCAGTTATTATATCACGGTAAATTTTCATTAATTCAGAATTAATGTCTATTTTATATGGGTTCTCGATGTTTGATGAAAGAGGCGGGGGGTATGTTGGATAAGTGGGAATTTCAACAGGTTCTTTACCGGGTTCAGATAAAATGATTGGGTCTCCATTCTCATGGTTTTCTTCATTCTCCTCATTCTTCGGTAAGTCACGAGTTAATAAATTTGGTTGAGTTGCTGACCTTGTTAATTCAGGGCTAACATTAACTTTAACATTTTGAATAATTCGTGATTTATCATCATTTACGTTATAACCAACCGTAATCTCTGCTTTTGCGTTAGTGTTCTTTTGACTAGTGAAACGTCTTCTCATTTATAATCGAATAAAAAAATATATTTAAACTTTTATTTTGCCGGAAGTTTTGAATCTATTATTCCCTGTATTTGTTCTTGAAGTTGATTTTTAGCTGTTTCATTGTAATTAATAGACCTAATATATTCATTAATTGCATTCTTATAATCACCTGATTTCTCAAATTTTCTTTTATCTGATTCCTTAACTAAATCATAAGTTAAACCTCGTTGCTGATATAATGGTTTCTTAATTAAATCTTTGAATGCTTGAGATAAAGCACCTGATGCAATTCTTGCTACTATAATTGGTTGGAATTGCTGTTTAAGTTCATCTTTAACATTTGCGAAAACTGGATCGAATAAAGCAACTTTAAAGAATTTCTTAGCTGAAATTTCAGGTCTAATATTTGCATATTGACCATCAAACTGGTTAGAATATCGTGGTAATCCATCCGGTCCCTCTTCAATAGCATTTAATTCTTCATTGAAATAAGAATATGGATTATAACGGTATGAATTAATTGGACCATTTTTACCTTCTCCAATGTATTGTTTAACAGCTTTTCCATTTTCATCAAATTGCATAGGATAACGTTCATTATATGCTTTACGTTTAGGATAATCAGATATAGTTAATTTGTAACCATTTATGACTTTAATATTACCCTGACCATCAGTAATGAAAACTTCATTTATACCATCAGGTTTTCCATTTGGACCCGTAATGTCTGCTTCGTGTGCTTCCCAATTTGGACCTTGACGTTTGGCATATGCTTGAGCTTCTGGTAATGTTAAAACGTTTCTCATTTGTTTAACATCTTTTTGAAGACCAGCAACAATATGAACTAATTCTTTCATTCCATCAGGAACTTTCATAGTTCTATTATATGCACCCTTTTTGTTTGTTCCTTGTTTTAATGGAACCTGTAGAAGATTTGCTATTTCTGTCATGTTTAATTATAAATAAAAAATAAAAATTAATTATAAAAAGTTAATCAAATTTAACACTTCCTTTATTTAAATCAACTATTATTTTTCCATGTTCACCTAATTGCTGATATTGTGTGTAAAGTTCATTAATGCTCATTGGTAAATTCACTTGATAAAGCATAACGTTCAACTGTTGACGACTAAACCCACTGAAAATGAAAAGGGTTGATAGATTTGATTTAATGTTTGTGCTTAATGCTTTGAAATATTGAACAGCCATGAAGAATGAACACTGAATGTGTCGACATTGAGTTAATAACTGATTAAAATATGATTTCTCATTTGTTATTAGTTTTGATTTCACTGCATCATCTAGAAAAATGAGTGAATGCAAAAATTCTCTATCAAAATTTGAAATAGAAAGTGTTTCAAATAATTCATCCCGTTGTTTATCAATAATTTTATCCTCTAATCCTTGCTTCTTGATTGTATTATATAATTCTTTATACATTAAAAAGTTTTTTAAATAATCTTCTGCTTCTTCTTGTGATAAATAAATAATTGGAATTTTGATTAAATGCTTTAAAGATTCAAATGTATCATCTGAAGGTGAACCTGAACGGTTGATATAAATTAACACATGTGAATGGGGGAAGTGTTAGCAATAATGATAATTTGTTTTAATATCGTTAATGTTTTACCTTTATTTTGTTTACCAATTGCTGCAGTGATTGAATTTAAGTAACATTCAGAATATGGAATTTTCATTAATTTTTCCTTAGATAGAGCATTTCTATTATCACTCAATGCTTCATTAATCATATCATCTATGTATGTATTATATACTCCTGCTAATTCTTCATAAGGGGTGGATGAATTTAAATCCATTTAATCAAAAATAAATTTATAATTTTAAACATTTCTATTCATCAATATTTCATCATATGAACTTCTATACTGTGGTGGTGTACCTGTTGGATGATATTTCAAACCTTCGTCCGGTGTCCATGTCCAATATGTAGTCCTAGTAAACCAAACCTGAGGAGGATTTGTCACCTTTGAACAGTAAGTGTCATTTTCACCCTGAATGATTGGATAAGCTTTCACTTGTACTGTAACTTGTGAGTTGAAAGTTTCTAATCCATCAAAGAATATACCCGCTCCATCACGTTGAACTGGAATAGTGCATAAGAATGAAGTTTGGTCTTTCCATTTTCTAGCTAATGGCGTGCCATCATCATCATTCAGTGGTCTAGTTAATGAGTCCTCGTATTCTTCCGCGCATTCATTCACTCCATCTAAATCAGAAGCTTGAAGCATACGTGTAAAGAATATGTCACCCACTGTTGTCATCGCTTGATCGGGGAAGTTTCTGGAATCTATAGTGACCTGAAGACCTCGAAGCATTGGATTTTCTAAAACCGTTCTTTGCATTGCATTCTTCGGAAATGTTAACACAACATCTGTAACATTATGAAGAGCGTATGAGAAATCTGAGCTGATACCTTCAGGAGTGATGCAACCTCCATTTAGTGAACGAACGTCAATATGTTAAGCTGGAATCATGAATGGATCTTCCTTACTGAACAAAAGTGGTATTGCTTTAACTGATTCTTCAATTAAACCGTATCCTGGTGTAATGCATTTATCCTCTAAAACTTCCATCTTTGTGCATGAAATAATAACGTCATCAACTGTTGCCTCAGCAGATGTAGCGGCTAAGCTTGTAATTAATTTGGCAGGAAGTCCGATTTGTTGGAATTTGCGATCATATTTATAAACATGATTCATAATCTTTTCATAATTTTCATCAGTTATCTTTTCATAAACGTAATTTTGTAAATCAGCAACTCTTAACGGGTCAACCTGACAAAATACTAAAGTATCCCTGAAAACATAATATTTAAGAATGATATCACCAAATGATTTAGGATAATCATTGAACGCCTGAAATGCTAACAAATCATTTACCGGAATAATCATATCAAAAGTGACATCAACTTCTTCATTTGCTTTCTTGAAAACTTCTGAAGGGTCAATATATTTACCACATACTGAGTTATCATATTTTTGAACATTATTATATAACGAATGAACAAACTTTTTAACTTTCCTTTCTGATTTTGGTTTATATGTTGCAAATGCGAAAGATTCACGGGCGCAATCCATTTGAAGATAACCGGCATCACCTCTTTCGGTTTCTACTTCTAATTGTTTAAAGCTTTGATTTGATGATTTGTAACCAACGAATAAACGCATGCATTTAAAAGCGGCATCGCATGTGAAAGCTTTATTTGAAACTAGAGTTGCTTTAACTTTGCGTTTAATATATGTGTCACCTAATTGGTTCACATCATGAGCTGGATTTGTAATTCTTAAATGAGTTTGTTTATCATCAAAATATGGAGCATCAGAGTCATAGCATGAACTTTCAAGTTCTCTATAATATCTTCTACCGTCATTCTTTGCGAATATTTCATTTATCTTTTCGAATGAATGAAACACATTTCCATTAATCGGTTTAGTGTTTGGCACCAAATAGTTAGTCGTCATTTATTAATAAATAAAAAATCAAAATTAAAAGATGAAAATGAATTTTTAATTTTAATGAAATAATCAACTATGGCTGCAGGATTCTTTAAGAAACTGTGGGATAAAGTAAAAAGAGGAGCGCATAAAGTTTGGGAAACAATGAAGAAAGGAGCAAATTGGATATTTAAGAATAAAGAAGCAATTAGTGACGTTGCTGAATCAATAACGCCAAAAGCTGCCCCAATAAGAGAAGTTTTAAATAAAGGAGAAAAAGTTTATCAAAGACTTCAACCGATACTAAGATAAAAATAATTTTAAGCCGCTAAGTGGCGAGATGATCCATAGGATCTCATATTTATTTTTCCACTATCTACCTCCTATTTTATTAAGTATTCCTTCAGCAATTCCACCAACTGCGTTACCTGCTTGTGCTCCCATCGCCGGATTACCTGCTTTAGTACCTAATACTCCACCTATGATAGTTCCTGCCGTTTTCGCTACTGGTGCCAAAAAGTTTGCAACGGGTTTAATAATCTTTTTATGAACCCAACCCGCAGCTTTCTTAATTCCATCCCATAATTTTTTAAAGAATCCTGCCGCCATTTCTGATTTAATATTAATTAAAAAAATATATTTCATCTTTTATATTCTAATTTTTATTTAATGATAAATGAAACCGATTTTAAAAATAAATGAAACAGAGGAGGAAGAAATAAATGAAAGTGAAAATGTTCAACAAAAAATAAACGTTGTTAAACCAATTACTGAAATAAAAATTTTTTCATCTGTTGAAGAATTTAATGACTATTATGCTAATAATAAAAAATTATTTGAAGAATTGACAACGTGTAAATTGAATAAAATGTTTAAAGTTGATGGATTCAAAATTTCAAAAATAAAAGGAGTGATTAGTTTGAAATCTATTCCTCAATCAAGAATCACCCCATTAATGAAAATTAATGATTTAACAAAAAGAATAGAAGAGATTGAAGAAAGAATGAATCAAATAATTGATTTCATAAATTCAAATAATCATTAGTTTCTTAAAGTTCAATGTTGAACTCATCAATTTCTTTTTCTCGTTTATGAGGTCTTTGATTATGACTCCATTGATTCCATTCATTATACCCCCTTTCGTACCTGTTGTCAAAATGTCATGTTGTCATCATTTTTAAGAGAAGTTAATTAACCTAGTGACATGGTGACGTAGTGACACCGTCAGTTCTTCAAAAATAATTAATTAATCGCGGAATATCTGACATCATCTATATATAGCTTCTTTTATAAAAGATAAAATAAATTATTTTAATGATTTATAAATAAATATATTTTAATGCATCGTCTATATATAGACGTAACAAAAAAGGTCACTAAACCCGTCATATCCTACTACTTATATTGTACGTTTACATTCAAAAATAAGAAAAAGAAAATGACGATTGAGAGAGAACGCCAGCTTGAAACATTCCAATTTCGTATCCAAGAAGAGACAAACTTAATGGATGATGAAATTGTCCGCTTAAATAATCACTTACAATTCATTGAAGCAGAAATAATTGACGCACAAGATAAGTATAACAACTTATCAGTTAAATATGATCAAAGAGACCAATTTCAAAAGGGAAAGGAAGCACGAACAATTGTTAGTCGTAATGCTCTGCTAAATGAAATTAAATCAGACTATTACGGTCAAATGGCTAAGCTTGGTGAAGAACAAACGAAACAAATTCAAACTATACATAACGAATTTGAAGAGTTCTTTTCTCAAGTCGAACCATGGATGAATACAAAGATAGAAAAAGAAATAACACCAATTGAGCAAAAAATATCAGCAATAAAAGAAAAAATAGAGCGAGTTAAGAATACTGTTGTTCAATCACAAGATGTTGATATCAAATCGGCTTATGCGGAGCTTACTGCAAGTCAAGAATTTGATGATGAACAACTAAGACGTTTGGAAGCAACACTCAAGGAAAAAACGAAAGAAAGGCTTGAAAACCTTTCGAGATGTCAAGAGCAACTTCAAGATTGCATCAATGTTCTTGAAGAAAAAGAGAATGCATATCAATTAAAGGTTAAGGAGCTCACATCTAAGTTAGATTTAATGGAGACTCATCATAAGGATAAAATCAAGAAAGAAACAGATAAACAAGAAAGAGAATTGACGCAAATGCGCCAAAAGCTTCAAGAAACGCTTAAAAGAGCCGCAGATGTAAAGAAGGCATCTGATGCCAGTAGCAATAATATGAAAACTCAGCTTAATGCGATTTTAATTGACAATCAAAGTTTGTTATCATCAGTTCCAAAGTCAATTGCAGTAGAAACTCAAGCACAAACAAATACAGAATTGCAAGACGAAACTCGCAAGTTAGAACAGCTTTTCCAGAAGAGAGAGCAAGATGAAAATCGACTTGCTGAAGCACGTACTAGGAATGAAAGCTTGAAGCGAGAACTAGCTCGTCTTAGACATGAACTTCGTGTTCGTAGACATAGAGAAGCTTATAATTAACTTAATAATTAACCTTTGATTTTTGTTGATTTTTTTTCTTGTTCTTTAAAAATTTGTCTTAATTAATGATTTTATATTGTTTCACAGATATCTTTAATTCCTTGTTTCATATTATAAGATGAGATGGAAAAAACTTTTCTTCATTTTTATCCCTATTTATGAATAACATTTCGTACATGTCGTAGGAGTATACACAACATTTATCAAATTCTTGATACTCATTTAATTTAACCTATTATTAATTCGAAAAACCGAATATGCTTTAAAAACATAATAGCGAATATCATATATCTGCACAGTATTCATCTGAAAGCAGTAACTTATTCTTATGAATGCATTTGTATGAAATTATGAAAAAAAATCTGCTTAGTTTGAACATACTAAAATTACAAAATTTTATGAAATAAAACGAAAACTGTTGCATGCTAAGTTCGGTCAACGATAGGAATTGAGGGAAAATTAATCGTCGAGGAAGTACGATTATGTAAAGTAAAAAATGTTGTGGGATTTTTAATATTGTATATAATTTTATAATAAAATTTTTGTGAGACATTTTAAGAAGCACATATAATTTTTTGAATTTAAAAATTAAAGTAGTGTTGAATGAATTTATTGATTAATTTAATACGGATATTTCTCAAAATTAATCAAAAATAGGTTTTTAGAGAACTTTTGAGATATCTTTTCAAAATGTCTTTTTGAAAATATATAAGTATTATATCAAATTGAAAAAAGGTATTTATCAAAATTCTAAATTCTTAATAAAAAATAACTTTTCAGAGGATTGTGATTTTGAAAGCATGAGTAATAAGTAAAAAATATCTACGATTTTAATGAGGGAATTGTTCCTTATGAGGTATACATTATAACTATATACCTCATAAGGAACAATTCCCTCTTGATAGCTGGGAAACTTTCTCTGAATAACTTATCATTTGGAGAAAGTTTCCCAGCTATCTATTAGAAATTAAAGGCTGTGAGGCACTAATATATAATCAGTGCCTCATAGCCTTTAGTTTCTTATTAAAAACGAGAAAACTTGTTCGAAATGATAAACAATTTCGAACAAGTTTTCTCGTTTAAGGAGGGAATTGTTCCTTATGAGGTATACAGTATGAATATATACCTCATAAGGAACAATTCTTTCTTTAAATGGGAGAAACTTTGTCCGAATGTTAAACTATTCGGACAAAGTTTCTCCCATTTGTAGTGGAGATGGAAGGCTTTGAGGTATATTATATTAATATGTACCCCAAAGCCTTCCATCTTTATTGTACAATTTAAAAATTCAGGAAAAATGTAATAAGATTTTTATAAAAATTAAGCGTTTATTCGTAATTGTGTATTCAATGGTTCGGTATTTCTTTGATTTCGAAGTGTCCATCAATCATAACTCTCCAAAATGGCGTTTCACCCTGTTTCCAATGTGGTGTCTCATTGTAACACTCTTCTGGAGTCATGGGGCGAAAACCCTTTTTGGGAAGGGTTTTATGTGGTACTGAGTTGTAATTTTTCCTGAATTTATCAAGAAATTCTTGAATTTGTTTTGCATTTGAAGACCGGCCGACATTTCTTTCAAGAGACGGCCAGAGCCTTTCAATCTTGCCGTTCTGGCGCGGCATATGGGGGAGAGTGTGGCGGATTTGAATGTTGTTTCGCATGAGCCAATTATAAAATTGGCCCATATTCTCTCCCCCGTTGTCGGACCAGAAACAAAATGGCTTTTGATATAAGCCAATCGTTTCTTCGGCAACTCTTGTTGTAGATTCGGAAGATTTATTTGGCAAAATTTTTAAAGCCAACAAAAACCGAGATTTATCGTCTATTATACCATAAACAGGTAACCTCTGTGAACCGTATAAAAAATGAACATCTACATGCCATATGGTATCAGGTTTTGTTGCTTCATATGGCGTATAATATTTTTGAGGGGGCCTGTTACTTTTTGGTTCTTTGATCTCCAAAATACTGTAAATTCTTCTGAGTTTATTGTAGGAAACTGAATAAACATTTTGATCCATGTTTAAACGCCAAAACATCTTTTGGATTCTGCACTTATATTCCTGAAATTTTTGGAGAACATATTGCAAATTTTCAGGAGTAATATCATCTGGTGCCGGACCAGGTTTAACGTTTGGGGCGTTAAATTTGCATTTGTGTATGCTGCTTTAAGTGTGTTTTTCGAAATTGATCTAAATTCACACTTCATTTCATCCTCGTATGGAACTCGCTTACACGCAATTAAATAATTGAGTTCGCGAGATTCAAGTTTTTCGCGTGTTTGAATTAACCACCAAGAAGGAATGGTTGGTCTACTCATAATAAAAAATGAAAAGCCAAATTCTCTCAAAAAGTTAAGTAGGACCAATTTTTTATAAAAAAATCCAATTCCATTATGAATGTTAATTAATTTATATAATTATTGAATAAAAAATTTTCTTTGAGATTATGAAAAGTTCTTTGAAAAGTTATTTTTTTTTTCATTTTTAAATATTGTATTAGCCTATTTATTTATAATCCAAATTAAATAACTTTAAATTCAATATTTAAAGAATAATTTTGAAGGAATTGAGTTACTTCCCCCGACGATAAAATTGAGAGGTTTACATTTTGACCGAACTTAGCATGCAACAAAACTAATTAAACAAACAAAAAATTACATGATAACTATTTTTTTTGTTATACGAAGAACATATCTTCTTTGTTACTTTGTGGCACCATATGAGTATCCTCATCGAAGTCGTTGTTAAATGGATCCGGATCTCCTTCATCCATCATATTTGCACCCCATAATGGATTCTCAGTAGTTATAGGAATATCATCGAAATCAGTTAAAACTGTTCCTTCATGTTCAGAGATTTCTACATCTGATTCAACGTCATCTTTATTTTCTTTCTTCTTCATCAAGAAGAATGCCAATAAAACAGCTGCAAGAACAATTGCAGCAACAATTCCTCCAACAATTGGCCAAATATTTACGGACTTCTTTGTAGAAGTGTTTGGATCAATAATTTCTTCCTTTGCAGGAGATGCTTGAACTGTTGGTGATGGAATAACTATAGGAATATTAGCAGTTAGTTCTGGAGTTGTGAATGGTGTTTCTACAGCTGTTCTCTCTTTTTCTGCTGATGATAGAGGAGTAGTAAATGGGGTTTCAAAAACAGTTTCGAAAGCAGTAGAGAATGGAGTTAGTATACATATCAAGGGTACGGAGGCACTGCGCGCCTCCTTACCCATTATATGTGAATTTGACACTTTACAAAACCGTTAACGTATATTTTACAACACAAACGACAACACTAACTTAACCTTAAATATTTACAAAGCTGCCAACCACTTCACCTCACTAATGTAAAAAATAAACGTTCTCACTTACAAAAGTATTGCAACTCCTCCCATTGCTGTGCTTCATATAACAGCTCATAATCTTCTGACTCACTTTCTTCTTCATATAGGTCAAAATCACTGTCATAGTTTATACCTGTAAGTTTTGACAAAGCTAATGAAACACGCTTACCGTTTGTATCATATGCTTGTATAAACTTTCCATTATGCTTGTAGTCATAAACGCTCAAACTAACTTTACCTTTTCTCCCTCGTATCTGATAGAATGTATTTTCACGAGGAACGAAGAACAAGTTCTTGAACTCATGACCGTTGTAGTTTGTTATCTCAATAGTTTTCGTCATTTAATATAATAGACTCTCGCTCTGATTTTGACAAGCTCATTTTACATCGGTTAAAGTTTTAATTTTGTTTTTTATCTGCAGTCAAATGACTCAGACAAGCCCTACGGACAAGACCCAAGGGGTCATAGATGTTGAAGCATTGAAGAAAGAAATTCGTGAGCAAATTTTATCCGAACTGAAGGAACAAAAACAAGAACAAAAGCCAGAGAGACCAAAGAGAAAACTTAGTGAAAAACAACTTGCTGCATTAGCTGCTGGAAGACAGAAGAACCCACGTTTGCTGGCGAAGAAAGCTAGAGAAGAAGCTAAAGAAGCTGAAGCAAAGAAAGAGTAAATGTGTTATTTTTATCGGAACTAAATGTATAGACAAATACCTTTATCTGTTGCGTTCAGTAGTGAAAACCCTGACGTCAAAATAAAGGGGAACAGAGTAACGTTTAAGTTTCCAACAGACTGGATTGTGAACATAAATGAAGAGAAGTACATTGGCATAACAAATATGTATATAACACATGCTTTCAGAAAGGTTGACTTTATACTTCAAGTCGAGATAGAAAATGACGAACAGTCTTAAGACGCCCAAAACATTCACATATACAAATACTTTAAAGACGATACAACATTGCAACAATGTATGATTTCATTTAATGAGATGTTCGAGAAAAAGTTCAACATTGAAGTACAAACTTTACAGCCTTTACGTGAGTTTCTTGCACAACTGAAAGAAGAAGGTAGTCGGCCACAACTTATAGACTTTCATTATGAATTTAATGAAAATGAAGATGGAACTCATGACTGTCAGTTTGTTATATATTCACCATTCAATGAAGTAGCTAAAAAAGAAAGAAAATCCATTACGTATAAGATTTCAAATCTCTGAACCAAGTGATGATTTCAAGAATGTTTTCAAATTATGATGCAATGCTTCGAGGAAAAATGAATTTTCAAAGATTGTAACACCCGGCATTTGGATAGAAAGCAAGCTATATTATATTCAAACTTAAGTAAGGGAGTTGAAAATGAGTTCATTGGTCATACAAGAACTTCACCACTTCCTAACCCTAAATACTATAAATTAACTGGCTTCAATCGTGAGTTTTGGATAGACATGTTCTCCACTCATGACCATAACTGCCCAGTGTTCTTACCTCCAGACCATAAGGACTGTCTCTACATTGAAGCACAACTCTTAAACTCTACCATCGCAGTATTGTAAAATCTACGCTAGTTTTATTTTTATCACGAATGACCTCATTGCTGACAAAAATAAATGACCTCAGAACTTCAACTTACGAATAAAGCTTGTTTTAGTCGTTATTGAGAAGTTAAACTTTTCAGCAAAGCAAGGACTAGAAGACTTACATAAGTCAAATCCAATCTCTTGACCATCATGAAGTGCTTTGTAAAGTTTCATTAAACTGAACTCAGAGTCTTTGTCATATGTTCCAACAGGTATGTGAATTCTTATCTTCATTGTAATAGCATTGTATAGCTTCAGGAAACATTTCATTAGCTGTTAAAGCAAGGACGTCTTGTTTGACACCTTTGCAACGTGCATGGAATGCAACTTCATTTAAATCGTTAGTGAGTAAGTCTATGTAGGTCTTCTTTCCACAAAATATTGACTTGTATGCTAAACTTTGTTTTCCAGGTGTTATTTCTGCGAAGTCAGAATGAAATTGACCAAGGTTCTTTCCTATAAGTTCGCGACCGTATCTCTTCTTAAACTCTGCTGCAAGCTTTGGTATGTCTTCATTGAAAATATGCATGCTATCACAGTCCTGGTAAAATATTTGAAGTCCCATATCTTCAGCAGTACAGAATACTTCACACATTATTCTCTTCGACATGGACAGAATGTTAACACCTAAGGGGCAAAAGTTAAAGTGTCTGCAAATACTTTTCGTTAGCTTCAAAATAGTTTTATCTGAACCATCCAAACCTTCGAACTTCACTATATGGTTGTAGTTTCTGATGGCATATCTTATAGCATCTTTGTCATTTACTATGGTTATTTTTGACTCAATAGGAGATAGAATAGTTTTGCCATAAATACTGTTCAGAATGAGCTTTATATTTTCTTGCAAAGGATTTCCTTCTTTCTTATACTTTAACCTTAACTCAAACAACTTCTTTACTTCATCTCTTATTCTAATATCTCTGTTTCCATCGTAATAGTATCCTTGCAACACTTCACATTTGACACCTTGATATTTTATGAGGTCTTGTAATGTTATATGGTCAACATACATTAAACAGCAAGTGTTTGAACTTCTGGGAACGTTAAGTTCTGGATTTAGTTCAGGGTCACAAACTATTAAAGGAAAGTGTCTATGTATTCCAATCTCTGTTATCTTAATGAGAACAAAAAAGCCAGACATAAACTTTTCACCAATGGGTTCCTTTTGGTCGTCATCGAATAAATATCTCATGAGATACTCTGTGCTTAACATTTCTTTCTTCATAACCTTTGGAATACCTTCTAAAGTATAAAGTCTTGCTATAGCGGATGGATATAATGAAACAGCGTCGAAATCAGCAATGAGTTTCTTTTCGCTCTTTTGTTTAATGTTATCTGACAGCATACATCTTCCACCTTGAATACAGCGTGAAATAAATTCTCTTGGTTTATTTGAGAGGTCATATAAATTTCCATTCGGGAAGTACACTCTGTTCTCAAACAATTTGTTAGCAATAGAACAAATACTAACGTAGTCATAAACGTTTAAATCAAATTCTTTTAATATATCATTTCTGAACTTAACAAAACCTTCTCTTAAAATCCTTACGTCCTGTTTGCAATAAAATGTGCTATATTTTTCTAAATCGAAATGGTTTTCATCTATTCTGCAGTTTTCGATTAAATCTATGTTTTTCATGAACGTATCCGCATCATGGATAAACTTACACGCTTCAGAAATGACACCAGTTCTGTTATCATTTGCTAACAAAACACTGCTGTAGTAGTTGTATGGAAATACTTCTTTCGGTCCTGTTTGTAAGTTAAACATAGCAGGAAATAGTTTAAGCTTCTTATTTATAACACTGTAAGAGTTTTTTATAATAATTGCCCTTCCTTTATATAAGCCAGTTATCTGCATTGTTCGTGAACCTTTAATGATGGGAGTTCCTTTCACTTCTGTCATGTGTCTTAAGATGAAGTTTATATCATAACTGAGGTTATGGAAATATATTAAACTCTTGTCAGGAAGTCGTTCCAAAAATTCTGTTGCACAGTTCTGACCCCAAATGCTTTCACTCACTGAACCATCTTCACTTCATAACAAATGTTAAAGGCTTTATGAAAGCCGTCTGTGCTACACTCAAGTCAGCAAAGAAAACGTGCTCAGGAATGAACTTACATTTAGCTTTATTTACTTCTTTTGACTCGGCTTTCTTCTTCAGTTGTACACAATACTTTGGAGCATATGTCAAATCTTTAAATGGTGCAAGGTTCTGTTTATATAAGTCAGTAGTATATGTGAAAAGTTCTCCATAAGAAATAGGTTCGAAATATTTGCACTCCCACAATGTTTTCATAACATTCCATAACGGTGTTGTTCTATCATAACGAACTAATATTTGTTCTCTCTCTTTGTATAAATCTTCATCTGTTTCTCAATGTTCATTCCACCACACTCCTTCAAGATTTCTATATAGTTGCGAATGAAATATGTTGTCATTGGTAATCTTTCGTTTAGCATGTAGTGGTCTTCAACAAGAAGTAAGTCAATAGTTCGAATAGTTTTACATTCTTTTGGTATGTATCTCTTTATTTCATTATGTCTTGAGTCATTGAAGTAACCAATGGTAACATTAAATGCTATACCTGTTGCGTCAGAAATTTCTTGTACTTTACTTTGAGGAAAGTCTCTAACACGAATGACTTCTCTCATGTGGTCAATAGTTTCTTCATTTACTCCAGCCTGAATGCAAGCATAAACGAAGCAGTTATCTTCTGTCATAAGTGTTGCAGTTCTTTTGTTCAGTTCATTGAAGATTTGGTAGCGTTCAAGATTTATAGGTAATGTGCAAAGATACTTCCAGAACTGACCGCTTCTCTTCTTATAAAATTCTTTTCACCATTATCTTTCCAAAAGCTTTCTATAAGTGCTGGGTTTCCTGTTTGCTTAAGAGCTTCCAAAATGGCTTCTGGTCATTTGTCAGTGTGCTTTATCTCTATATGGTCTTTTTTGGTTTGCCTTTCTTTACATCTGACATCGTTAAGCCTTCATATTCAGTTAAATCATACATCTTTATTTCAGTAAGATTCTTTATGTTTGTCAAGAAGAAGTCATAGTGCATTTCAACAATACCTGCAGCATTTGCTTCTATCTCTGATATAAAGTTCTCCTTCAAGAGCTGATGTAGTAATGTTCCAATATTATTGAGGTTTAACGTAGAACATTCATACTTTCCACCAAGTTTATAACATACCATCCATCTTTGTTGGGAGTTTATTTTAATTTTCTCTAAGAGTCTCATGAAAACCTTACCGAAATGTTTGTGTAAGTAGTCTCTGTTTGGTTCATCTAAAGCTTCGATGTTAAAGTCAATGAGTCTATTGCCTGACTTCACATTTCTCTTCCTATTCTCTTCATCTTTCTTTAACCATCTCTCACCTTCTTTTGGTTTGTCGTCAATGGAACGAATGACATCGTTAGCTTTGCGAACTTGTTCTATAGCGCTCTTAAACATCTCTCTTCTCTGTTGTTTCAGTGTGTCGTCTCTTCTTCTTGTTTCACCAACGTTTGCATTTGTTATGTCATACATTTCTCTTCTTACTTCATGAGGTACTGAACGTCTATGATATAAGTCAATAGCAACGTCATTTAAAGGAAATGCTCTTGCATGGACTTCGTCCTCGCCGCGTTGCGGCTTTATGAACTCATGAATTCTATCATAACTTATTGCACCATTATAGTCTTTAATGAAGTCAGTGAGTGCTTTTTTGTTTGTTGCGTAATGCTTTGCAACATCTATATTAGCTTCTGTAAGAAGTTGTTTTATTTCCGAGTGTTCTAACTTAGACAACTTCCGATACATCTTTAGTAGGAAATTAAAAAATATTTTTTGAAAAAATTAGATTAGATTTTTTAAGTTATTTTTCAAAATAATTTAATATTTTTATTTTAATGAAACACATGCAAGATTGCAAGTTCTTTTCATACAATGCTCTCGCTACTGCCATCAAGAATGAGTTCAATAATGCTTCAAATGTTAATGTTATCTTTAACAAGAAGTTTGTGAAAGAATCTAAGTTTGGTCAGTATGTCAGACCATTAGCTATCGTCATTGACCGCAAACGTTATACTTCACAAGAGTTAGCAGTAGTTTTGAAACAAAAGAGTTTCTTCGTGAATGTCAAAGATACTCATTATACTGTCATAAAGAACTCTAACGTTGACTTCTTCAGTATTGCTTTAAATCTTTCCGAACAGAAAGAATATAAGAAAGGTGAAACAAATGTGAAATATTATCCTTCATCTCTGAAGACAATAACGAACAAAGATGTTATACAGAAATTCTTACCAAAGGTTGAAGAAGCTTCTATTGACATTGACGAAGGAAGTGAAATGGTTGAAGAAATTGACCCCGAAGCTTTATAAGAAAATTTATTTTTGAATAATTGATGGTGTCACTACGTCACCATGTCACCACGTCACTATGTCACCACGTCACCATGTGTCACTAGGTTAATTAACTTCTCTTAAAAATGATGACAACATGACATTTTGACAACACAGCAGGATTAATGCAAAAATGAATGTTATCGTTTATGTTATCGTTAATGTTATCGTTAATGTTATCGTTAATGTTATCGTTAATGTTATCGTTAATGTTATCGTTTATGTTATCGTTAATGTTATTGTTAATGTTATCGTTAATGTTATCGTTTATGTTATCGTTAATGTTATCAGTGTCGAACATAATTGACATGGAGCATTTATGTTATCGTTTATGTTATCGTTAATGTTATCGTTTATGTTATCGTTTATGATATCGTTTATGATATCGTTAATGTTATCGTTTATGTTATCGTTAATGTTATCGTTTATGTTATCGTTAATGTTATCGTTAATGTTATCGTTTATGTTATCGTTTATGTTATCGTTTATGTTATCGTTAATGTTATTGTTAATGTTATCGTTTATGTTATCGTTAATGTTATCAGTGTCGAACATAATTGACATGGAGCATTTATGTTATCGTTAATGTTATCGTTAATGTATCTTAATGTTATCGTTAATGTTATCGTTTATGTTATCGTTATCGTTTATGTATCGTTTATATCGTTAATGTTATCGTTTATGTTATCGTTAATGTTATCGTTAATGTTATCGTTTATGTTATCGTTTATGTTATCGTTAATGTTATTGTTAATGTTATCGTTAATGTTATCGTTTATGTTATCGTTAATGTTATCAGTGTCGAACATAATTGACATGGAGCATTTATGTTATCGTTAATGTTATCGTTTATGTTATCGTTAATGTTATCAGTGTCGAACATAATTGACGATCAGACGATTCTCTCTTCGTCAATTATGTTCGACATGGAGCGTTTATGGAAACAATTAAATGGTAAAAACAAAATAAACTTGACGAAGGGTTTTGTTTTTTATCATGGTTTTCTCCACTATGGTCCTAACGTGGCACCCGACGAGATTTTTTTTTCATTCTTCCTCTTTGAAGTTGTCGAAATATTCTGTTATTTTTTCCTTCAGTAATGTTAAGTCTTCTTTGAATGTAAGTATTGTACAACCTTTGATGTCATAGTGTGTTTGAGGAAGAGTATTTTTGACAATTTCCTTTATTTGCTCATTCGGTGTCATTGAAATCGGTAAGTTTTCACGATAGAACCAGTTTCTGTCAGATTTATATATTTTAGCGAGGTCATAAAAGCTCTTGTTGTTTCTTCTGACTAAATGTAACATAACCATATCTTTATCTTCTTCTTTCTCCAACTCTTCAGTGTAAATCATATACTTATAGCTCTTCTCCTTTCCTTTTGGTACCGAACGTGGTATTCTTTTCTGTATGCTTTTGTCTTCTTTCATCATATCTTCTCTCTGCTTTGTACAAAGTTCGTCAAGTAGCATAAGTATGTAGATTGCATAACGGGGCCAAGCCCATATTGCTATTGAACTAACTAGGAACTTATGAACATATATACCTTTTAGATGTGATGGTAAGTTTTGTCTGTCTTGGTACATCTTTTTAAGTTCTACATGTTCAAACTCACTGAGGAGTTCATGAGTGCTATTTAATTCAAACCATTCATTTGGTGTTTTATTCTCTGGAGCAAAACATGCTGTCAAAATACTTTGCATTTGGTACATGTCATCTTTGACTGAACGAATGAGACGTAACTGTTTGTTATACTGTATGTACTCGTATTCTTCATTTATGGCTTCATGAACGATAACTGTTGTTGTGTTCTCTGATGTTGTCATTACTGTCTTTACATACGAGATAAAAATTTTTGTTAGAAAAAAATTAGTGTTATTTTCTGACTTTCACAAAAGACCAAAAATAAACGCTTTACATGTATTTTTCAGCAACTTCGTCAAATAATTTTATAGCTTTATCTATCTCATCTACTTCAAACGTTTCTTTACCTTTCATGGGAGCACCATACATTTTCTCAAACTTTTCAAGTAGTTCTGTTTCTGTAGCTCTCATATCATTAACGAACACAACCTTGACTCTATTGACTGTACTGTCATATCTTTGAGTTATATTATATGTTCTTCCTATCTTATATCTCTTTGTATTGAAGTCCTTCGGTTTCTGAACGATGTAAAGTAAGCCTTCACTGCAACGTTCCGTATCGAATGAACCATAAGTTATGAAGTTATATCCAACAACTGGGTCAATCCATAGAAGAATTATTGGTATAAGACTTTTGTCAATGAGATATGCTGTAGTTCCATAGAATCTTACCGATATCATGAGCTCAGGATTTCTTGTCAAAATTTTCTGAGTAGAAGCAATTCTAACCCAGTCCTTTGTTTTCTTTCCAGATGGTGTTATAATGTCTGACAAAGAATATTTGTTGTATTTCTTACAGTATCTTACGTTTAAATCACCAATTCTAACCACTTTGGTGTCATTGTCAATCTTTCTAACTGTTTCAAACTCAATGTTTGACATCACTGTCTTTACATATGAGATAAAAAAATAAATAAAAATAAAACTAACTTTATTTTTATCTTTTATGAAAATTCATGAAATTTGGTCATTTTTCAGCAACAAAATGAAAAAGTTTAGAAGAATTTTTTATTCTTTCTGGCTTATTTTTGTCTTTCCAGTACTCCGCTCTAATGGTCCCAGATGTGTTGGCTTTGACTCTCTCAAGTTCTTAGATGGTATAACATCTTCAACGCCTCCTTCATATCTTACTTTAAGTGTCATCGTTTATGTTGTAGCCAAGTATTTCAATAACCACTCCTCGCTTTGCTTCGTCAATGGTTTCAGCAAGTTTGCCATTACTACTTTCAACTAATTTATGACGAGGATAAAACGCAATGGAGTCGTCAGCAGCTTTTATAAGATATCCATTACCATTGCGTAGAGTCTACGATATAATAGTTTCTACTTAACCTTAAACGTTTCTTTGTCAACGGTTTGTCGTCAAGAACTACACGAACTTTTGTACCAGGAATGAGGGTAAATTGTGTTGAATTTCTGATATTTTGTGTTTGACTTCGTTTCTTTTGTATATACTTTTCTTCTTGTTGTTGTGTCATTGAATTTGGTGTATGTCCTGTTGTAGAATGTGTTGAGGAATTATATACTTCGAGAAAGTGTTTCATTGTTTCTTCGGTAAAGTCTCGCTCTTGGTTTAAATCTCTGAGCGTTCTTATGAAGCGGTTTATGATGCCGAGTATGTTATGGTTATGGTCTTCAGTAGTGTAGTGAGTTATGTTATGCTTAATGAGAAATTCTGTGATTTCATTGCTGAGGTATGCACCGTCTTGGTCTGATGTTAATGAAGTGGGATGATGTTCTGCCACGAACGTCTGCAAAACTCTTAAAACTTCATGAGTTCCTTTATTCCTCATTGGATATGCATATGCTTTGCGAGTGTTAACATTAATGAAGATGAGGAATGGTTTATGTCCTCCTTTTCTGCTTTGAATGAGAGTGTCAAATTGGTATGCGTCAGGAGCGTTGGAGTAAATTGGTAAAAAGTAGTCGTAAGGGTTTATTTTTGTTTGATGTACAACATTTTTGTCAAAGAACCTTTTCACTTCAGCTCTGTTAGTAAATCCCCAACTCTTTGCAGCTTCATTGAATTTCTTAAATGACCTCCATGGTGATGATTCGAATACTTCTTTCAAGCTCATTTATGTAAAGTTAAAGATTTTATTCTAGGCTCAAGCGCGTTCAATGAACGCGGTACCATGCGAATACAGTCACAAATGGTGGCATATAATCTGCACCCGAGCCTGTTGGATTTGTTGTGAAAGTGTGTGAATGATTACCTCCCGGTTCAGTTGGTCGAAAAATCTTTTTTGCTGCATTGTTATAAGATGGAGATAAAACGTCATTGCCAGCTTCATACTCTGAGTTGTATAATGGGTGGTCTCTTAATGAGTGGCTATGGTCGCCAGAAAAGTTTGTCGTTCCTGTATGAGTATGCGCAGGTAAGTTTGCTTCTTTAATTTTCTTCGAACCTCCTGTTTGCTTTGAATAGTTAGCACAGTATAAGAATTTATCTACAATCTGCTTCCACGTACCAAAACCTAAAACTGTTGCTGGATTTGTTGAGTTCATTGACGTATAAATAGAGCCTATAGGATATAATGTTTGAAGAATCTGAGCCTTCATTGTTTGAAGTTCATGTTTAACATTTATAAATCCTTTGCCATCTACAATATTTATATTGTTTGTTATTAAACCATTAGGAAAAGTAGGAGGATAAATTCTTTGTTCATGTACAGTTGCACCGTTTCTTCCTGTTTTTGTTACTATAGGGTGTCCAAAGGTGCGTTTAGCACAACGCTCTATATCAGACTATTAAAGGAGATATATGCTGATTATAAATATATAATAAAAAATATGAATATATGTATATGATGAGTAAGTTGTATTTTGGCGCCATGCCGGGATATAAAATGAATTTTGAGACAAGAGGCGGTTTCGCGGGAAATTTTGGCGGGATTTTTTTCATTTTTTTAATGAATCATAAAGAAAACATCCTCGCTCTTGCAAAAAAATGCAAAGACTGTAAAAAAATCTACGAGACATTGGTAAAATGCTTCGGTATGGATGCTCCTAGCTATTCCACTGTAACGTATCATGTTAGGATGTATCACTTCATGAACAAAAAGGCGCCCATCATAAAAATTGACAAAAAATCGCCGGATCAAAGAAAAATCAAAGCAATTCTTCAAGCGCTAGATGAAGACCCAAGAGCATCACTCAGAAGGATAGAGGAGATGACAAAGATACCACGTACAACAGTCAGTTATTATCTGCACAATTATTTGAACTACAAACTAGCGTATACACGTTGGGTTCCGCACAACCTTAATTCAGTTCAAAAAAAATCTAGAGTCCAATCTTCGAAAGAGCTCCTCTCTATATTGGGTGCGTATCAATCCAAGAAGTTTCGCTTTTTAGTAACAGGGGACGAGTCTTGGTTTCAATATGCAACAGAAGCCAAAATCATGTGGATTCCGAAGGATGAAAATCCGCAAACATTCCCGAAGAAAAAAATTGACACACCAATGATGATGTTGTCGGTTTTTTGGGGCGTGAATGGCATCATCGCAATTGATATTCTTCAAAAACCTAATACGATGAATGCTCAGTATCTAATTGACAATGTTCTTACTCAAATTATCAATTCTGATGAGTTTGAGAAATCCAAACAACAAAAACAAAAGTTTGCAATTCATTTTGATAATTCAAGAGTTCACAAAAGTCATAAGGTAATGAATTACTTGGTGGAAAACAATGTCAAAGTTGTTCCAAACCCAATTTATTCACCTGATATTGCACCCTCTGACTTTTATTTATTCGGCACGCTAAAAAAGAGAGCTGAAGGACGCGAATTCGCGAGTCCAGATGATCTTGAAAATTTTGTAAGAGAGCAATTTGAGCAATTTTCTCATGATGATTTAAAGCGTGTCTTTCAAGCCTGGATCGATCGCTGCGAACGCGTGATTGAATCCAATGGTGATTATATTTAAATAAACTTTATATATATGTAACTTGTTTATTTCTATTCGCAGTATTCAGGTTTGTGCTAAACACACCTTTGGACACCCTATATTTCGATGCATGCCTTAATTTCTTTAATCCTGATTGTTTGAAATTCTTCATGCACGTGCTCTTTATCGGCTTTTCCATTAAGCGCAGCATTTACTTCCGACTTCTTTGCATAATTTTCATCTACATAAGTTTTGTCGGCTTTCTTATCTAACATTGCTGGTAGTTCGTATGCTTCAAAGTTTCTGGCATGACCTTCAATGTTCATACATCTGTTATCTAAATTGTTTAGTGTATCTTTTACGCTTGTACTTGGATTCTCTAAAGGTGCACTTGAACCAAGGGTATAGTTCAATATTATGTCGTCTGCTCTAACAGTAGTGAAGGATTCATGTGTATGGTTCTTGTCAGCTTTACTATTTAATGTAGCTTGAAGTTCATTTATATCGGAGATATTGTGTTTATGAGATTTCAAAACTTTGTTCGTTGCGTCAAGTTCATCTTTGTCAGCTTTACTTTTAATAGCATCTTCAAAAGTTATTTTTGCCTTAACTCTCAAAGTAAATCTTGGTTCAACTAATACACCGTTAACAAAGAAGTATGAAGCATAAATTTCATCGTTATAACCAAATGCTTCTGGTGGTTTACCTGTGTCATACTGTACAGTACAGTGTATGTCATAACCTTTAGCACGAATGAATTTATATCTTCTTTCATTAACATCTTCAGTGCTTATTTGTTCATCCTGTGTTAAATATCCATGGTAGTCCGTTATAATCTGTTCGTCTGAACTTATATAATGAACATGGTTTTTATCTGCTTTTTCGGCTAATTTCTCTTCTATCTCATTTATTTCAAGTTCATGCCTACCACCACCTCCTTCAGAAGTATTTTTCTTCAGCTCTTGAAGAACGTCCACTTCGCCATCTTTGGTGTCAATAATGAGACTTTGAGTTAAAACCTTTCCTGTCTTAATGGATGTTTGTAAAACTTCTTCTTCACCGTGTTCGGGGTCATGGTCGTCATCATATCTTGTGAAATCAGAGATGTTGTCATACATTAAGCATATCTGTCTCAAAAGTTCTGCTATTTGAAACTGGAACGAAAGATATACAGAACTTTCATCATCTCCTAAAGTCAAGTCTGCTTTCTTAAGTATTTCTTGAATGTATGCAATGAGAACAGAGTACCTTGGAAAATATTCGAACAATATTTCATTAGCTGTTGGTTTTGGTGGTTCTTCTGGAGTTTCTGTTGTTTCAGTTCCTTCTGTAGGTTCTGTTGGAGTTTCTGCATCTCTTGACTTCAATGCTCTTGCTCTCAAAGACCTAAATGTTAGAGCACCAGGTTTTACAAAGGACTTTATAAATGCTTTAATAGTTCCTGGTAAGTTATTGTTAGCATTAAGTAAGTTCCTTATGCTTCCATCATGTACGTCCATAGCACTATGTAAAAAATCTATACTTTTCTTGTAGTCAGCAATAGACTGACTGTGATTTTTTAAAGATTTGTCAATACCTTTAAGCCAATCTTCATGCATGTCTGATACTGAGCCAAGAATATCATTTGCTTCCTTTAGTGTATTTTGTGCTTCTCGTAAAGTATCCAATCCCGTACGTGCATTGTTTGCTATACGTCTTACAGTATCTATTTGACTCCTTGTTTCTTGCATCCAACCAGATAAAGTTTTAATAGTATCCGAACCATTTGAAATGAAGTTCAAAGCATTTTTAACGTCATCTAAAACTTCTTCACCAAGTACTGCCCATATCTTTCCGATTTGGTATTGAAGAACTCCATATGAAGCAGCTGTTAAACCAGTATTTATAAGGTTCCATATACATGATTTAGCAGTTTTTCCATCCTTTCCATCTTCACCATCCAAACCGTTTTCGCCTTGAGGTCCTTGTATTCCTTGTATTCCTTGTGGTCCTTGTATTCCTTGTATTCCTTGTGGTCCGGTGTCACCCTTCTCTCCTTTCAGTTCATCTTTATGTTCGTTATAATATTCTAATGTCATAAGGTGTACATCATTACTGTTACCAGCAACGCCGAGAATTTGTTTCTCATTCATGACTAAATTCTTTAGGCATTTAATGTTGTCGTCAAATCGAAAGCTCTTTAACAATTCAATGAGAACATTTAATACTTTCACTAATGAGGCATCTACTGTAGAATTTATATATTGCACCGTTCCATCATTTATGATAGGAACCTTGCTTGTTGTAATGAATGGGTCATACGTGTTAAAAGTATCGAAATCAATGACTTTTTTAGTTTTTCCATCGTCAATGACTAAATCATTGCCTTCAATGGTTAAAGTTGAGTTTTCGTTTACTAGTTCATGTGCTCTTCTTGCTTCATTTGTTTCATACGCATATGCAGCAATAGTCATATTTTAATGAGAATAAAATGTTGTTCTATTTGCAAAGTACAGACCCAAACGAATACGGAATAGTAAAGCTACAAACAAACTTAGGTCTTCAGAATGAAGCACTTGCTTTCAGAGTTGTTGACTTCAATACTATCGCAACTTTTGTCATAACAGATGAAACAGATTTCATAGAGATTGAAATAGATGACAAAAGAAGTGTTGTAACATTTCCTAACAGAGCTGGGTATAGAATAGATAAAATTGCTGGAGTCATAGATACTCTCATAAATGAAGAAACTATTGACAACATAGATGTCGAACTCTCTTCTGAGGGAACATTGAAGTTCAGTTATGCGAAGGAGTTTAAGATAACACGAATGAGTCATAGAGTTCAATTGCTTCTGGGAGCATACCATATGACATTTCCTTTGAAAGGTGTTGACAAAACGATTGAGATGAAATCTGTTCCATACGTATGTTATGGCAATTGTTTGTACATTGAGTCAAAAATAGCTAATGTCACGGGTATTTCAGGAGTTAATAGTAAAGGTTCAGTAGAATATAAGTCTTTCTGTTATGAAGTAAATTCAATGTTCATTCCAAACGTTCCTGTCATAGCAACTCATTTAGGTAAATGGGTTCGCATTAGTCCTCATAATTTGAAAGACATGCAATTCAGACTTGTTGACTTTCAAGGAGAGCCTGTAGAACTGAAGGCACCAGTGCGAATGACTGTTGAAGTTGACTTTTTAGAAAATATTAAATGCAACAGCTTACAAGAGAACTCAGAGCTAAAAATATAAAGTATGAATGTTATGTATTAGGTCATGAACTTTGGTTGTTGCTGTTTGATGAAACAAATGAGTTAGTTATGTCAGTCAAGAGAACAGAAAAATATTATGTTAGTGAAAACTGCACCAAGTCAATAAGATTAGGTTTGCATTATGAAGATGAGTTCAATAGTGTTGAAGAAGTTTTGGACAGATATTACAAATTGCTTTAATTTACTAAAACATATTTCAAACAAAGTTTATATTCTGTTGAAAGTTTTGTATATTCATTCGAATATTTATACTTAAACTCAACTCCTGTAGTTCCTGGTGTTTCAATGATGCGGATGTTACCTATTTTCATGAATAGTGGAGTTTGACCACAGCATTCGATTTCAGGGTCGAGATAGTCAATGACACATTGTTTCCCTGTTATTCGTGATATAACATTTTCAAGGTCCTCCTTTGTTAGAATTATTTGGTTCTTACTTATAAGATTTGTCAAAAGTTTCTTATCGTCTTTGAGTAAAATTGTTTGGTATAACTGAAGAAGGTAATGGTCTACGTTATCTGAAGGATTTGTTTGAACATTTGTGTAAGGGTTGTCGTTGGCTTCTCTTGAAAGAATTTGGTCCAGTGGTGGATACTCTAACTTAACATCTGATGTAGCGTTAGCGTTTGAAGCTGTGTTTAAATTCACCGACTTAAGTTCTGGTTCTTTTTCTTTCAAACACTCTGAACTATAGTTCTTTATGACAATATTGTTTGTCGTTCGTGAGTCAACATTTGATGTTGGTTCAATTGGAACATTAACGGCACCAGCTAAGATGGATTTGCTTCTCATTTCATATAGAATAAAAACCTTTTATATGTATGAAATGAGCAATATACTCGACAAGGGTTTGAATGTAAAGCTAACGAATGAAAATATTGTTGAATTCACTGAGACAGGTGCTGTGTATAAAGATGTAGAACTACTGAACAAAAGAGCTAAGGGAAGAAGCAGGAACATGAACAAAGGGTGGAAGCCTATAAAAATTTATGTCAATGATGGCTCAGGAGGTTCAAACATAAAGTATGCAGAAAGTTATAGAGTTTATGCTCTCAAAGGTGAAAAGCCTTCATTTAAGAACAGCTATTCTAACGCATATCCTCAAAAGCTAACGGATGGAGAAGTGGATGATATGAATGACAGCAAAAATATTAACAGAAATGGCGACAGAGATGCATGGAATTTGTTTACCATCAGTCAATTGAAGGTTAAACTTTAAAACAATGTTGGTCGTTCCCATGGAATATTTTTGACTTTAATGGTATTAGTCATGATATGAACCTCAAGGTATGAACGAGGAGAGATGAGAGACTTATATGCTTCCCAAATTTCTTCAAAAGGTAATGTTATACCTGACTGTTTCCAAATGAGTTCAATATCATAACGTGAGAAACCTTGAAAGATAACGAAGTCAGTTATGAGACGTTTTATGTTTAAAGCTAAAAACCTCCATGTTTGCATAAGTATTGCTACAGTTAAGTGGTAATGTCTGACTTTAGTAATGATGTTAGCTAATGGTGAGCCAGGCTTTGAAACTAAACCTTTTCCGGCGAAGTCGTCGCAAACGAGCAGAGTGTTTGAAGGATATTTTTTGAAGGGGTATTTTGAAAGTTTTGATAGAATGTAGTTTGTCAGTCGTTTCATATCGTAAACTCCTGAGTACTGACGTAAGTGGTGTTTGTCAATAATTCTTTCCATCTCCTCAGAAGTCTTTTGCATTCCTGACTGTATGAACTCTACGATGGCATAATATTTCCTCTTACGTCGAATGTAACGTTGAAGAAATTCAATGAGTTCACTGTCTGGAACTTTAACGACAGAGGCTTGAACTTTTGACATAAATGTTTTCGCTGTTGAGTCCATAGAGTCTGAAGTTGCTGATATAATGATTTGGTCATAGTAAGAGTCGTTTCCTAAACGCTCTGTTATGAGTATATGACGAATGAGGTTAAATGTCTTACCTGAACCCATCTTTCCACAATAGAAATACACACCATTTGAACAGAACTCATAGTCCTTACTGAAAGGAAGAATGAGAGAAGAGTTAAGTTTGTCTGTAGTTTCATTCATGTCTTCATCTACGTCATGTATTAAATGCTTCATTTTATCTCCATTAAAAATGCAAGTCAGAAATATTCAGAACATAGCACCGAGTCTAACTGACAAGAGTATAAAGATATACTATGAACATGTTATGATGAAACCAACCAAAATTCAAGAAAGTCAGTATACTTATGAATATCCAAGACACTGGGTAGAGTATGTAGGAGGTGAGAAAGCTATTGAAATAAGACAAGTTAGAAGTATTCCAGCAGGAAGAACAATATTATTGAAGAACTTTAATGTTTTGAGGTATAATGATGAAACAAAGAAGCAAGATAGTTTTCCTGTTGCTGTGTATGTGAACCTAGACACAGGAGATGACATGAAAGTTTTTAATACAAAGCTTCAAACGGTAGTGAGAGAACAACTGACTGCGGAAGGGCATCCATTACCTTCAGAAGTTACCATAGCATATAATTTTGAAACAAACTCAATAGATTTTAAAGTCGTCTCTGCAAAGAAGTCAGGTTTTACATTTAATGAAGCAGATGTATATTCGAATGAAAACATCAAAGCTATTGCATGGTTAGATAATGACGATTGCTTTAAGAAAATATTTAAATACAGTGACTCAACGATGTCAATAGATGACCTTCGTGGAATGTTACCATCGACGTTTACAGTAGAAGGTTCAGCAGGATTGCTTACAAGATTGTCAATTGGTGGTATTTGGTCTCGTGAGAACATTGTTATAAAATCCAGTATAAGTGAATTTGCTGAAGAATCTATACTATGTCTTTCAAACTATATGTATTCGCCACCGAAGCATTATAGTATAACAAACTTTGTCAGTAAGTTTAACATAAGACTTGTCGAACCTTCTTCAATGAAAGATGTTGTGCTACCTAAAGACGGAAAGGATGGACTCATTATTGAGATGATTTTAATAGCATATTAAATGAGTTTGTTTTTGAAGGTCATTCATGATGAAATAATTGTTGTAGAAGATGTTAGCAATTGTTCAGACATTTTGAAGCGTATAGATGATATAAGAAATAAGTTAGATAGACCGCAAAGCGGTGAGGGCGAAGCCCGTGAGAACGCTTATGTTTCATTGATTTTCTCCAGTAACGAGAACTTTTATGAGATAATATTGAAGAGAGATGATTTTAATATGGTGTAAATGGTAGCTTGGGCAGCTTTAGGCGCAATGGGAACAAAAGCATTAGCATTTGGAGCAAAAGCACTTGGAGCTTATGACGCAGTAAATAAAATGAGTGGAGGAAGGGTTTCGAAGACATTAGATGCAAATAAAGGGAAGATTGGAGGCTGGGTTGCAAAGAAGTTAAGATTAAATAAAATAGGGCTCATAAATAAAGCATCCAATTTGGTTGCGACTGAGTCAGAAAATGCTTTAGGAAAGGACGATGAGTTTGCAAAACACGCAAAAGACTTTAATGACCAGATGAAAGGTGAAACAATGCATTTAAATAGAGTCGATGGAACTAAAGAAAATGTTTCTTCTCCACTAGTAGTTCTTCCGTATGGTCCCTATGGAATGTATGGAAACCCTTACGAAAGACCATTTGACCCATTGACTGGTGGAAGTAACTGGTATCATTATGGACGAAGAAGAAAGACAGTCAAGTTGGACACAGACGTGAAGAAAGCAACTAAAAAGAAACCAAGGAAGAGAGTTATAAAGCAATGAATTCAACAGGGTAGAAAACCGGGTGAAAAAAGAGGTGAGATTTCATCACTTCACCTAAATTTATTTTTGTGCTATGTTTTCATACGTGTGGGAGTGGTGATATCATTAATTTTTAAGTTTATTTTTTATTTTATTTTTATATAAATGACGAAAACTATTGAGATAACAAACTACAACGGTCATGAGTAGTGATGCGAAAAATTCCCAAACATATGGGGTTTCTCATATCCCGTCCCCTATCGTTTCCCCAATTCAATTTTTTTTGGAATTTTATTTTTTTTCCCGCCCATTTGAATTAAAAATGGGCGATTTTCGTTAATGTGATTGAAATATCATAAAATTAATACGTATTTTAGCTAATAATTCTATTTTTATACAATATTCTCTCATTAAATCAACATTTTTTTCTAATTTTAATTTTTAATTTTTAATTTCTTCATAATTTTAGCGATTTATGCTCATTATTAGCAAATAAATAATATATATAATATACTTATTTCATTTTATTCAGATAGGTCTTTGGGATTGGGATACCTTGTCCAAATTCAGAGGAAGTTTGAGAGGTTGGGATGGGGTAGCCCATATTCAATTATCCCAAGTGTACTCCACGAATTTAAAATTATATTATATTATTGATGACATATCTAAATTTATAGATAAAAATTTCAATGCGTACACAATTTTTTTTGAGAAAATTCTTTTTTTTACTTATTTTCATTCATAAAAGCTCACGTGAACTTAATTAACAACTGAGACATTTCCTATGAAATCATTTAATGCCGTCAAAATAGACATGTCTAAGCTGTTTTGAGTGACTTTCGCTCGATGTCTGATGCAATATCAGACATCGAGCGAAAGTCTCTCATATTGGCAACACATCCATACGATCAATACTATAGCTACGAATTACAAGCCTGTTTGGGCAATTTTTGGCCGAGTTCTGATTTTTCATTAGATCTCGAGCGAAAGTCTCTCAAATTGGCTGCCAGTTCATAAGAGTGAAACTCTAGCTACGAATTAGAAGCTTGCTTGAGAGACTCTCGCTCGCGTTGGGATCTGCATCAGAACTCGAACGAAAGCCTCTCAAAGTGGTAAGACCTGCTCATTGTTGAGCAGGAGCTGCGTAATGTGTTCGAGTAGAGTGAGGCTCTTCTAAGATCTTCCTTGTGATTGGAAGAAATTAGAAGAGTCTCACTCTACTATTTTGTAATTGTATGCCCTGGCCTTTGAGTGACCAGGGCTGCGTAATGTGTTCGAGTAGAGTGAGGCTCTTCTAAGATCTTCCTTGTGATTGGAAGAAATTAGAAGAGTCTCACTCTACTATTTTGTAATTGTATGCCCTGGCCTTTGAGTGACCAGGGCTGCGTAATGAATTCGAGTAGAGTGAGGCTCTTCTAAGATCTTCCTTGTGATTGGAAGAAATTAGAAGAGTCTCACTCTACTATTTTGTAATTGTATGCCCTGGCCTTTGAGTGACCAGGGCTGCGTAATGTGTTCGAGTAGAGTGAGGCTCTTCTAAGATCTTCCTTGTGATTGGAAGAAATTAGAAGAGTCTCACTCTACTATTTTGTAATTGTATGCCCTGGCCTTTGAGTGACCAGGGCTGCGTAATGAATTCGAGTAGGATTGTACAATAGCTCGGCAAACGCCGAGCAAATTAATATAAACGTACATCCCACAAAAAATGGATTGTCAAAATTTATCCCAAATTTTACAAAACCGCAGCGGTTATGACATCCCAGGGCTAAAAAAATTCGGAAACTCGCATCTCTAGTCATGAGTTCAAGAACTTGTTCTTCGTTCCTCGTGAAAATACATTCTATCAGATACGAGGGAGAAAAGGTAAAGTTAGTTTGAGCGTTTATGACTACAAGCATAATGGAAAGTTTATACAAGCATATGATACAAACGGTAAGCGTGTTTCATTAGCTTTGTCAAAACTTACAGGTATAAACTATGACAGTGATTTTGACCTATATGAAGAAGAAAGTGAGTCAGAAGATTATGAGCTGTTATATGAAGCACAGCAATGGGAGGAGTTGCAATACTTTTGTAAGTGAGAACGTTTATTTTTTACATTAGTGAGGTGAAGTGGTTGGCAGCTTTGTAAATATTTAAGGTTAAGTTAGTGTTGTCGTTTGTGTTGTAAAATATACGTTAACGGTTTTGTAAAGTGTCAAATTCACATATAATGGGTAAGGAGGCGCGCAGTGCCTCCGTACCCTTGATATGTATACTAACTAATGGTGTTGAAAATGCTGTTTCAAATGGTGTAATATGTGCTGTTGAAAATGGAGTTTCAAATGCTGTTTCAAAAGCTGTTGAGAAAGGTGTTTCATGTGATGTTTCAAATGGTGTTTCATGAGCAGTTGAAAAAGCAGTTTCGAAAGCAGTAGAAAATGGAGTTTCAAAAGCAGTTCCAAACGGTGTTTCATGAGAAGTAGAAAATGCTGTTTCAAATGGTGTAATATGTGCTGTTGAAAAAGCAGTTTCGAAAGGAGTTTGGAATTCAGTTTTGAAAGCAGTGGAGAAAGGAGTTTCAAAAGCTGTTTGAAATGCTGTTGAAAATGGAGTCTCAAAAGCAGTTTCGAAAGCAGTAGAGAAAGGAGTTTCGTAAGCTGTTTCAAAGGCTGTTTCGAAAGGAGTTCTTGGAATCAAAGCAGAACTTTCTGGAGTAATGAATGGTGTTTCAAATGCTGTTTCAAATGCAGTAGAGAAAGGTGTTTCAAATTCAGTAATATATGGTGTCTGGAATACTGTAGAAAATGGAGTTTCAAATGCAGTTTCGAATGCAGTAGAAAATGCTGTTTCGAAAGGAGTTTCATAAGCAGTTTGGAAAGCTGTTGAGAATGGAGTTTCAAATTCAGTTAAGAAAGCAGTTGAGAAAGGTGTTTCAACAGCTGTTTCAAAGGCTGTTTCAAATGGAGTTTGTGGAATCAAAGCAGAACTTTCTGGTGTAATGAATGGTGTCTCAAACGCTGTTTCAAATGCTGTAGAAAATGGTGTTTCGAATGCAGTTGAAAAAGCAGTTTCAAATGGTGTATCAAACTCAGTAATATAAGGTGTTTCAAATACTGTATTAAATGGTGTTTCAAATTCTGTTTGAAAAGCTTTTATATATGGTGTTTCGAAAGCAGTTTGAAAAGCTGTAGAAAATGGTGTTTCGAAAGCTGTAATAAAAGCAGTTTCGAATGGTGTTTCGAAAGCAGTCGAAAATGCTGTTTCAAATGGAGTTTCAAACTCTGTTTTGAATGCAGTTATGAAAGGAGTTTCACCAGCAGTTTGGAAAGCTGTTTCGAAAGGAGTTACATGAGCAGTTTCAAATGGTGTTTCAAATGGTGTTTCAAATGCAGTGCTGAATGCAGTGTTAAAAGGAGTTTCACCAACTGTTTGAAATGCAGTTGAAAAAGGAGTTTCAAAAGCAGTCAAAAATGGTGTTGTTTCTTGTGTAGAAAATGGAGTTTCAAAAGCAGTTGATGCTGGTGTTTCAACAGGTGTTGGAAATTGAATCTCTGGTGAATGTGGATGCAATGTATAACTTACATATCCAATAATTACAGGAGTATTAGGGAATTTAGTTGCTGGATCTGGTTTCTGGTTGATTTCCGTGTTGTCAGCGTAACTAATTGGATCATAACTAATGGAAGACTCTTCAACAACTGATGTTGATTCATAAGAATTAATTGGATAATCTAAAACATCATTTTCTGTCACGCAAACACCATCAACTGTATGGAAAGTTGTTCCGTATTGATCAATTGTAACAGATGATGTCTTAGTTGTATCAACAGCAACTGCATTATCTTTATCTGTTGAAAATATATCTTGGAAAGAACGCCATTTTGCATCGCCTTGGAAGAGAATGTCATTACCAATAGAAGGAGCTCCATTGAATGTGTTTAAGTTTGGATAGTTTGCGACATTTCCGTTGAAACAGCAATTTTGGGAAACTAACTGTTTCGATTGGTCAATGCAACTGAAGATGATGGCACCACCACCTGATGGGATACCTTTTTGCTTGTTAATCATCTTCGATTTGAAAGTGTTGATCTCATTTGGAATGTCCGGTAGAACATTGCAAGCATTGCCTAAGAACTTGCAGCTATCAATGAAAGCTGTACTCTCTGAAATGGCAATGGCACCGCATGGAGCTTTGGCTGTGCATTTCTCGAACCTGACATTATGCAAATATGTATTTGTGGATCCGTAGATGTAGGCCGCACCGTATAGTTCGTTGGACTGGCACATGAAGAAAGAGGAATCAATCATTGAGATCTCATTAATCGGTGAAATAACAGCATCATCGGAATCAACCTCTGAAAGTTGATCAGATGATATGGCGTAGAATGAGCCAGCTCTTTGATATGCAATATCAAATGTAAATGTAGCTTGTTCTACAACGCTTCTTGAGTTAACAACGGCAATGGATCCGCCCGTAGCGGCTTTATTTGAATTAAAAGATGATTCGAGGATATATAAGCATGATTGCTGTGCATATACTGCGCCACCAGAGCCAAATGTGAGAGCGACGCCAAATGCAAAACAATCCTGAAACTTCGAATTTGTGATTTTAACTAGTGATTTCCAGTAACTTCTGGATGTTCTCGTACCAGTTACTAATGTTTCGAATGAAATTGCTGTATCAATTCTGCCATCAGCTTCAAGATCTTGTTGAATATTGTCATAATCAACAAACTGAAGTTCTTGTTCTGTTCTTGAGAGTCCAGAAAACATTGCATTCAGTGGATTTATTGATAAGGAAAAAAGGAAGAGGTAAAAGATCATTGCGCTAAAAATTATTTTTTTCAATGAGTTTTTATTTTTAAGAAAGAAGTGGTTTAAAATGTTTAATGATATATGTGCAGCAACTTTCTCATAATTTTGTTATGAAGAAATTTTGAAAAAATTGTAATGCTCTACCGTGATTTCGATTTTTCTATGAAATCGGTAAATCTCAGAAAATTGAATGGATAAGTCAATGAGAGAGAAAGTATTATCTATATGTGTAGGTAATAATTTCAAACTTCGTGTCAAAAGTTAACAAAATATTCATCTACCGGATAATCGATTATTTTGAAAAGTAAAACAATAAACCTCTAAAAATATGTCCAATTATAATATCATTGTTTTATATGGCATTAGGAACATAAGCAAGATGAATTTCGATGAAGAAATCTTTTTTTGCATTTTCCGATTCGGGATTTTCTGAGATATAAATTTATACCTCTCGCATATGTAACTTCTTAAATTTTGGAATACTTAATAAAAAATTCATTTGAAAATTTTCAATTTATTGAGAAAATAATATTTAAGAAGATCATGTAAGCACTTATAGTGTAACTGGATCTCAGCATCATAGTTCATATATGACATTTCTCAAAACTAACAGAACATAAAATTTATATGTTAATATCATGTTAAGCAAAAGAAAATGATTTGTGATTCAAACCAACATGAAGAAAAATTAATAGGTGATTCAAATCAGCCTAAAGGAAATTCTATATATCAAGGTCATGCTTAAAACTTTTATAATTGAGAAATATACATGATACATAGGCATTACTGACTTTTTATGGCATGTGCTCTGATTACATTCGCATTTTTAATGAAATAACTTTCATATGAGATATTTAAGTAATATATAGTATTTTATTATTGAATGGTTCTTGCAAATAAGATCAGTATAACAATAGATTGCCTATCATGGTGAAAAATATGGTAAAAATAGAAGATTGAATTGAAAATTGTAAGAAATTGAGTTAAATTCTCATAAACTTAGGAAATCTACGTGAAAACTAAAGTGTGTAAATGGCAATGAAGTATTCTATTTCGATGGTTCTCTTCAAATTGCTAAATAACCCGATCATTATGAGTTTGATTATTTTTTCAAAAAACCGTTGGATTTTTATTACGAAATTTTATTAGTGGTTTGAGAATTCAGAAAGTGGGAAACTTTGTTAATCAAACTTCATCGAACAAAAAACATGACCAAAGAATTTTGGCCAAACTCCTCGGTCAAAACTTGAAATCTCGTTAAAAAGCTGGAAAATTTGATTTGAAACGGGAACAACAATCAAATAACGTAATCGTAAAACAATACCATAAAGAAAACCAAAGTTATTGAGCCACGACGATAAAAAAGCGAATTTACAAAATAACGATAGCATCGATTCATAAGATTTTTTCACAATGGAGATCGAAGGCGATGCTGATTATACCATTAAAGTTATTCTTGTAGGATCAAGTGGTGTCGGAAAGACCAGCTTGGTTAGTGCTTTTTTCGATAATCCTTTCGAAAATCAAGCTTTACCAACCGTTGCTCCAGCATCTTGCAACGCCACTATTGAAGTCGGAGGTGGAAAGAAGGTAGAACTTCAAATTTGGGATACAGCTGGCCAGGAAAGATTCCAAACTATTTCTCAAATGTTTTACAGAGAATCTCAAGTTGCTTTCGTATGCTTCGAACCAACACCTAATGATAATTATGAATCTGGAATTACAAATGTTGATAACTGGATTGCTAGAGTTAGACAGGAAGTCCCAGATTGCCTTATATATATTGTTGCTACAAAAGGAGATACAATCAACAATGAAGAAACATTAAAACTCAATAATATCGGTAATGAAATGGTTGCCAAGCAAAATGCTAAGGCTTTCCTTGTTACTTCAGCGAAAACAGGAAATGGCGTTCGCAATCTTTTCGAATCTGCCGCTAATTGCTACTCCACAATTTTCCAGGCTAACGAGCCAGTTAAGGAAAAGGTTCATCTTCAGCTAAAGGATAAGAAGAAAGGTTGTTGCTAGAATTGATTTTTTTTTTCTACTAAATATCTATTTATTGATTTATCGCTTTTACTAATCATATACAATGAATTTCCACAAATGAAATAGCCTTACTTTATTGTCTTTGTTTGTCAATGAGATGAAATTGCGAAAGAGTTTTAAGATTTATGGAAATATTGTTTATATGTCTTTCGTTGATATTGTTTTACAACTTATTTTTGAAATTAAATGTCCAAAAAAAAATGACACAAAAAATAAACGTCTTTATGTTTGGGTTTTAGAACTCTTATCCTTCATTAAAAATACAAGTTATGAGTAAATATTTTTATTTTAATATAATTTAACAGTCTATTTTTAGGAAATTCAATTTTCTTGAGATGGAGAGTGTTCTAAAATCCATCTATTAATAAGGTCAAGGGCATCTTCATTAACATGCTTTTCTACCTTCATATACAAGTCATTCTCTGCTGTTGGAATTATATCTGCGTCCATCAAGAAATGATCAGCGAGTTCGACCCATTTTGAGTCACCATTCTTAGCTGTATCTTTCCACATCTTCCAATGGTCAGGAATCATAACTTGGTCTCTTCCACAGCCAATAATTAACATTGGTAAGTTTTGAGGAACTTTTTCAGGAGTCATATTCTGGAGTCCTGAGCCAGGAATAGCTTCCCAAGCAGGATTAACTAAAACAGCGCCGGCAATTGGATGTGGAGAAGAACTTAATATTTGTGGAAGGAAAATAGAAGCGAAACCGTGTAAAATCAAGAATATCGATGATGTTTCTGGTAATTCTGATGTCAAATTGATGCACAATTTGGCCATATCGACAATTGGATCATTACTGCTAAAATTGCGATAATCTGGCTTAATAAAACCAACCTTCTTCTGTGCAATGTACTCAAAATCACGGAATGGATATCTAATGCCTAAATGACCGTCGACATCTAAAGAAACTGCTGTATGAACGAGAATTGCCATTGGTAATGTGGAAGAATTTCTTAAAGCTGGTTTAACGTATCTAATAAGTGGTGTTTCTGATAGATCTTGAATCAAAACCTTGTGAGGATTGAAATAAGAAGCAGCAATGTAAAATGGATGGCGACTAAACTCTAATCCGTTAATTTTATGATCCATATTCATTGAAAATGTTGCAAACCATTCGTTTTTGTTGATAAATACTGAAACATCAAATATGTAAAATCCTTCATCTTTTGTACTTGGATTTGGAGTTGTGGCATCTCCCACTTTTGTAAATGTGCCATGTTCACCTTCCATTGTAGCTAAGCGACGACCGATTTCTGCAATTGTAAGTTTTTCGCGGAATTCTGGTGTAATATTCTCGTAAAGGAATGATAAATTGTTACCGATGATAGTAGTCTGGCAAATTTTCTTTGCAAACTCAATCATATCTTCAAATTGATTGTTTTCCATTTGTGCAAAAAAGTGAACGTTTATAAATTAAATAGCAAGAGGATTTGTTATCAAGGACTTTGTAAAAAGTATTTTTTGATAATTTAATTTTTTCGAGTTCAATTTTTGTCACATTTTTTCTCTAAAAAAACTTTCGATGAGTTTATATGCTTTTGAAGAGTCTTTAATTAAAGCAATACAAGAAGGTGATTTAAAAATGATAGAACAGCTTCAACTTACGTCAATTGATGTTAATAGAAAATTAATGATTCATCATAAAGTTCCTGTTCAAAATATTCATTTGAAAAGAGTATTTCCGGAATTAATTGATCCAACACCAGTTATTTTTGCTATTGCATGTGAAAAAAGCGATGTTTTATATTACTTCATCGAAAATCTTCATCCAGATTTATCAATATGCTGCAATGGATGGGCTCCTATACATTATGCTGCAATTATTGAAGATCCGAGATGCATGCAAATCTTACTTAAAACTGAATTTGTTCAAACTAATGTAGATTTTCCAATACAATCAGTTTTATCAAAAGATATTAGTCTCACTGCATTAAATATCGCAGTTTCGTATAGCAGACATGGACAAGCTTTACTTTTAACTCAAAATTTCATCCAACCAGAATTTGACTTAGAAGGAAACAGAATTTTATTCAAAAATACACCAGTCATTGATGAATCTTCCATACTTCCTGCTGATTGTCTTCATAAAACAGTCAGCGGCAACACTCCACTCCATATCGCCACATACCGCAATGATTGGGACATGTGCCAGATCTTAATGTCTGTTATGCCTGATGTGAATGTACTTAATGATAAAGAGCAAACTCCAGCAGAACTTGCAAAATTATATAATCATAATGAATTGGCAGAAAAGCTTACCAAAGCAGAGTTAGATCCTATAGAAACTCTTATTGCCAAATATCTCACCAAACCAAGCAAGCCGAAATGTCCATGCGATGAAATACCAGCTAGTGAGGAATCTGTTGAAGAAATCCGCGAAAATATTAATACCCTTAAGGAGACGATTAATAACCTTTACGCAACAATAGATTCTCTCAGCAACAATAAATGAATTGTCCTATTAGTCGACTAAAATGTTTGTTCACTATTCCTTATTTATTTTTCTACATTAATACTATAAAGTCAATATACTTTTTTAATCATATGTCATTATGTAATTCACTTTTATTTTTTCACCATGGAATAGAGCTCTAACTAGATAGGAGCTAAAATAAAAGTTTCTGTGCTGTTATTTTATGCATTTAAATTATCATTCAAACGAAAAGTGAATTTGCGAATAATCAGAAGATAACAATATTATACTGTATATATTGTGATTTAAAGTGTGTGGTTATGTCATTTTTGTTTTCCATATAAAAACCAATCAACCCAAATCTTTTCTTTTTTGTGTCAAAAAAAAATTGACGCAAAAAACAACGATAGAAAAAAAAATGTATTCACCCCCTATGCAAGCGAAATTCCGCGAGATCAAGACGATTTACACAATCGTCGATGGTTATCTGGAAATCCTTTTCAAGAATGATCCGGTTCCATCGCATGATCCAAATCAAAGGAACTTCTTTAGACCTTATACACGAACACAAATAGCGAATGTGTTTAGGATTATGGGCTGTCAGATGCCACTTGATGCTTCATTGAGTGACTGGATCTTTTCTTTCCTTGAAAGGAGCACAGATGAACAAGCACAAGAATTATTACATACCGAAAAGAAAATTTTTCAAGACAAACGCTCGTGTTCTCATCAATTTATAATTCTCACGCGAAATGAATTCCATCGTCTCGTATGTGCATCGCTCTATGTCCATCAATTTAGGAAAATTCGATATTCTGTTGATTTCCGTCTTGCATTGGACTTCATTGAGGAGCGAAGATTCTTCATTATTCTCCTCTCTGGTGCCCCTGGTACAGGAAAATCTACGATTGCTTCACTCCTTGCGAGCCGTATGTCTGTATCTCATATTATTTCAACAGATTCAATTCGTCATGCAATGCGCACGATATATCCTAAAGACAAGTATCCGATTTTACACTATTCAACCTACGAATGCGGTGATATTGTTGATCCGGAACATAAATTACCGGAAGAAGAGAGAGTATGTATCTTTTTAATGCCATTGGAAGCAATACGTTTCCTTTGGCAGTTTATTTTTAACTTACTAACACGCAGTGCATTAAAGGTTACAATGCTCAGTCAGATTTAGTCGGCGAAGAGCTTATGAAGGTCGTAGCCAGCTTCGTTGAGTCCAGATCCTCACTTATTGTTGAAGGTGTCCACTTAAGTGTCAATGTTTTGATGAAAGTCGTTTCATCATTTCCAAATGTCGTTCCTTTCCTTATTTACATCAAGAAAGAGGATTTCCATCGTCAGAGATTTGCTGTCCGTGCTAAATACATGACCACAGACCCAGGACAGAACAAATACATCTCTAATTTCGATGCAATCAGATCTGTTCAGTCAAGTCTTTCAAAAGGAGCTTCAGAACACCTTATTCCTAAGATAGACAACAGAAACATCGACAGATCCATCGAAACAATGCACCAAACCCTCTTTTCCTACCTCAAAAAACTCGAAGGAAGACAATCGATGTTTGATCCGAAAACAGAAAAATTAACATTTCTCGATATGATTTGGAAACGTCGCAAACAGAAAATGACGTCCAAAGCTAAGACCCTCAAGGCCATATCGATGTTAACTACAGGAGGATCAGCAGATCTCGTTACAGGTGAAGAGCAAACACTTTCACATTCTCTCCAGGATTTGCTCGAAAGTTTGCCAAGTCCTGACAAAGTTTTCAGAGATTCACAGGGCGGAAACGACATCAGTTTCAACTCGTACGGAACAATGTTGCTTGGAAATGTCGACATACAAGAGGATGACGGCATGGATTTGACCACTCCTCCTGTTCCTGTTCCTCCTCACAACAGAGTTTCGCCTTTCTTCATCGAACAGAAAATTAACGATGACTCGAATGAAGAACAGGAGGCAACTGAGACTGAGGCTGACCCTGTCGAACTAACTCTCACGGACTTCGCTGAAACAACTGACACTGAGACTGGTGAGGCCCTGATTATGAGCAACGGAAGATTCGTTGTTAGAAACTAAAACATAATGTGATTTAATGATTTTTATATAGATAAAAAATTATATTTTTTAAAATAATAATTGATCTTTCTTCTAATAGTATATGTGTTTATTATATATTAGTTGACTTGTTTATACATATTGATAATGAACAAAGGAAGAATATCTTTAGAAACCAAACATAATGTGATTTAATGATTTTTATATAGATAAAAAATTATATTTTTTAAAATAATAATTGATCTTTCTTCTAATAGTATATGTGTTTATTATATATTAGTTGACTTGTTTATACATATTGATAATGAACAAAGGAAGAATATCTTTAGAAACCAAACATAATGTGATTTAATGATTTTTATATAGATAAAAAATTATATTTTTTAAAATAATAATTGATCTTTCTTCTAATAGTATATGTGTTTATTATATATTAGTTGACTTGTTTATACATATTGATAATGGACAAAGGAAGGGTCATCGTTTGAAACTAAAAGTAATGTGATTTAATGATTTTTATATAGATAAAAAATTATATTTTATAACATAATAAAATTTGATCTTTCTTCAAATAATATATGTGTTTATTAGGTATTAATTGACTTGTAAATGCATATTGATAATGAACAAAGGAAGAGTCATCGTTAGAAACTAAAGCATAATGTGATTTAATGATTTTTATATAGATAAAATAATAAATAAGAATAGATCTTTCTTCTAATAGAATATGTGTTTATTATGTATTAGTAGACTTGTTTGTACATATTGAGTAGTATATATAGCGGGTTGTGTGACTTTTTTTGTAAACGTAAGAATTCATACGATATTGAACGATTTTGTATCATTTTTTTTAACATATGAAGTAAAAAATGTATGATTCTTACGGTTTTTATTCTTACGTTTTTGAATAAATCAAGATTTAAAAAGGATTTCAAATCGTAAGACATTTACACTCAGCCCATACATAATGAAATAAATCATTAAAAAAATTAACATTGATTTTAAAATAATTTATTTTTCATCATTTATAAAAGAAGTTATATATAGATGATGTCAGATATTCCACGATTAATTAAACATTGTTTAAAAATGAATGGAATCAATGGAGTCATAATCAAAGACCTCATAAACGGGTAAAAATAAATTGAAACTAATGATTATTTGAATTTATGAAATCAATTATTTGATTCATTCTTTCTTCAATCTCTTCTATTCTTTTTGTTAAATCATCTATTTTCATTAATGAGGTGATTCTTGATTGAGGAATAGATTTCAAACTAACCACCCCCTTTATTTTTGAAATTTTGAATCCATCAACTTTAAACATTTTATTCAATTTACATGTTGTCAATTCTTCAAATAATTTTTTATTATTAGCATAATAGTCATTAAATTCTTCAACAGATGAAAAAATTTTTATTTCAGTAATTGGTTTAACAATGTTTATTTTTTGTTGAACATTTTCACTCTCATTTATTTCTTCCTCCTCTGTTTCATTTATTTTTAAAATCGGTTTCATTTATTAATAAATAAAAATAAAATTTTGTTATCAGTTATTTTATCGTTAATGGTTTCAGGTTATTCAAAAATAATTAATAAATACCATCCTCCTTTCATACCTGTTGTCAAAATGTCATGTTGTCTCATTTTTTCAGAGAAGTTAAATAACCTGGTGACCTGGTGACCCGGTGACTTCATCAGTTATTCAAAAATAATTAATAAATACCATCCTCCTTTCATACCTGTTGTCAAAAATGTCATTGTCTCATTTTTTCAGAGAAGTTAAATAACCTGGTGACCTGGTGACCCGGTGACTTCATCAGTTATTCAAAAATAATTAATTATTGAATAACCTGAAACCATTAACGATAAAATAACTGATAACAAAATTTTATTTTTATATAAATGAATACCCCACAAGCTCAAAATTTACCACGAATCATAACAAGGGAGGAAAGAAATAATCGAAAAATTAAAAAACAACAAACCACGAAAACCGAGAAGATGAGGAATAAAAATTAATTTTGGATTGAGTTTAAAAATTCATCTTTATTAAATTCATCTCTTCCAATCAATTTATTTATTCTATTAAATTCTTTTATTTTTGCTTCACTCAGTTTAAGGATTGAACGATAAGTTTCTAATTTTTCGATTATTTCTTTATTGTTTTCAACCCCACCACATTGCTGCTTCTTTTTGCAATAGCATATTTTTGCTTTAATTTTGTTTAGTTTCTTTTTATATTCATCGTCTGGACTCTTGGCTGCTTCGTTGTCACTCATTTCTTACGAAATAAAAAAATTAAATGTTATTTAAATATAATGGAGTAATAAAATAAATCGGAATTTCTATTAATTTATTGTTAACCTCAACTAATACATTACTGTTAATATATCTAACAAATTCAGCTATTGTGTCAAATCTTCGTCTTCTTTTTGTCATTGATTTATCAGTTTTTCCATAATCGAGATGAATCAAAACTTATATCCCCTTGTTTTAAAATTCATGAGCCCCGAATTAATTTGTTCACGTTTAAACATCATTTAACCTTTCCATTTGCTTTCTAATATATTCCCATTCTTTTGAAATATCATTTTTCATTTCCACTGGTTTCAATGTTTATAGTTCTATGCCATGTATTATTGTAATAATATACTAACTGCTGTATGATGGAGTCATGATTTCCATCCCAGTATATCTGACCGTTAACCCCTAACGCATCTCTAAGAGTTCTCATTACTGCATCAACTATTTTATTATGAAACGTATATGGAGAGGATGAAAAGTAAAAATTAATTTGTGGGAAATAATGAGCCATAGCTGCCTGAAATCCTTTATCACCATCACCCCTTATATTATCTACTCTTTCATGATCTAGTAAGTATTGTATAGCTCTTCTTGTTTCCTGTTCTGTTTTCCCTTTCACTGGAATGCAATATAAATATCTTGTGTTAATGTTAATGACAAATAAATAAGTAACATTTCCTTTTGAATATTCTAAAATGATCGATTTCGTATGAATATGGATATGGTGCAAATGAGGGGCGACAAATTTTTCTTTAACGGTTGAATTTTTGGGTCAATTGGTTTATTTAATATCTTGAAATCCTTTTTAAAATCTTTTTGCTTCTTTAATGTTTGAAATGGATATAATAAAGTGAATGATGAAGGATTAACTGAAGGAGGAGGAGGTACTACTGTTGGAGGTTTTGGGGTTGCAAGTGGTTTAATTTTATCTGCTTTGATTTTGGATGATGAAGTTTTGGAATTCATTCCTCCTTTCATTAATTCCGGATGTATTCTATTCATTTGTTTTAAATATACTGTATATAAAGGTTTGATATACTTTCCCGCTTCGAGTTTATGTTGAAGGATGAATTCCAAAAGTTGATCTTCATTTAAAAGTCGGGCTGAATGTGGTTTAACTAATGAATCATAAATTAAAGCTTGTGCTTCATTTATGGTCTGAATGACCTGGGCGTTTTGCACTTTTAGCTTTTGTTCCTTTGTTTTTTGCAGCTCAGGATTATATAATTATATAATTCATCAATATCTTCTTCTGTTAATACTTTATTTTTGAAATCTTTCAATTGTTTAAGTTGTGATTTAGTTTTTCCCTTTGTATATTCATTATTTTTAATTTTGTCTTTAATTTTAGAAATTATTTTATCATGATATTTCAAAATTTCATTTTTATAATATGAATAATAATAATCCATATCATCACCCGTTATATTTTCATCATATTTTTGGAGATATGCTTTTAATTCATAATAAGTATGAAAATTTTGATTAAATACTAAATCATCAATTAAAATTTTTAAATCTACATCATTCATTTATATAAAAATAAAATAAATGTTTTAAGGGCGCCCACCTCTTTGATCAAGAATCAAAACCATCATTAACGGTTCCTTTTGTCTCTTCTGTGGCATTTTATTAAAATTTTAAATTGTATTAAATAAACGGCATACAACATCCATTTTCACAACATACAGCCTTAGTGTGTGCTCCTGTTAATGCAGTCTTACCGATTGTTAAGCGAGTCATCATCCTGTTTTTAAGTTGTAAATTAATATTCTGACCATCAAATATCACTTTATCATTTATTATATCCAAATAATTTTTAGGTGTTAATTGTTTATTTTGTCGTAAACTAACACCTTTCATTTTTTGTGCAATCTTTTTAAAATCACCTCCATCAATTGAACCGTTGAATGATGTATAACACTTGGGGCATAAAGCAACCATGTTATCACCTTGTTTCTCAATTGCTAAACCCAATAACTTCTTCTCATTGTGCTTTTTCTTCAGCTTTATTCTTTAATTTAGGTTTAAATTTCTCATCAAAACAGAAGAAATCAAATGGTGCGAATTTGAAAATGTTTTTATCATAAAATTGTTTATCGGTAACAATTGCTTGAAATGCTTGAGTGTTAGGAAGATTTGGATCACCAGCGATTGCCCAATAAGATGAATCAGTATCACCTTCAATGAAATGAAAACGATTAACATTCATGCATTTATACATAAAATCATAAATGAAAACCAAATACCAGTATTTAGCATTATCTAAAGTGAAGAATGCCTCTTGTAAACATGTATCACATCTATAAAATCTATCTTTGAGCATCACTTGATACGTTTTCACCTATTTCTCTTATGTTTTTAAACTTATTTGACATACATGCAACGCGTGCCTTCTGTGCATTCATTATTTTAGTCTTTGTGTAATTTTGTGTATTCATTGCATCGTAACCATATGATCCATTAAGTGAAATCTTGCAAAATAAACTTTTTCCTTTATTTCCTTCTAATTCAGCCTTTTGTCTTTCGTTCATAAATTCATTCGCAAATTCATTAAAACAAGTGTTTTTAGTAAATGTTAAAATTGATTGAATGTCATCAATGATAAAATGAAATCTGTCTATTAGATACCAAAGATAATAAGAAGAAAATGGTTGATATTGGTTGTGTGTTGATGCTAACTGAGTTAATTTTCTCTCTGTTTCTGGTCAACT